ATATGCGGGACCTTAGGGATGCATCTTAAAAATGCACTCTTGCCCTATAATAAAATCGAGAAATAGCTAGAATATGACAAAGGGTTCCCGAGATATGGCCAATTTTCCATCACGTGTTTAGAAAATTGCAAGAGAAGGGCAAACTTTAGCGGCCATTTTGAAGCAGTTACAACCGAATTTCGTGGGGGCTCAAGGGTGCATCCTAAAAATGCACTCTTACCCTATAATAAAATCGAGCAATAACTCAAATATCACACAGGGTTCCCGAGATATGGCCAGTTATCCACCGCGTGTTTAGAAAATTGCAAGAAAAGGGCAAACTTTAGCGACCATTTCGAGGCAGTTACGACCGAATTTCGCGGGGTTTAGAGGCGCATCGTAAAAATGCACTCTTACCCTATAATAAAATCGAGTAATAACTGAAATATGACAAAGGGTTCCCGAGATATGACCAGTTATCCACCGCGTGTTTAGAAAATTGCAAGAAAAGGGTAAACTTTAGCGGCCATTTTGAGGCAGTTACGACCGAACTTCGCGGGGGTTCAGGGGTGCATCATAAAAATGAACTCTTACCCTATAATAAAATCGAGAAATAACTCAATTATGACGTTCCCGAGAAATGGCCCGATTTCCACCGCGTGTTTTGAAAATTGCAAGAAAAGGGCAAAATTTAGCGGACATTTTGATGCAGTTACGACCGAATATCGCGGGGGTTCAAGGGTGCATCTTAGAAATGCACTCGTACCCTATAATAAAATCAAGAAATAGCTAGAATGTGACAAAGGGTTCCCGAGATATGGCCAGTTTTCCATCGCGTGTTTTGAAAATTGCAAGAAAAGGGCAAATTTTAGCGGCCATTTTGAGGCAGTTACGACCAAATTACGCGGGGTTTCAAGGGTGCATCCTAAAAATGCACTCTTACCCTATAATAAAATCGAGCAATAACTCAAATATCACACAGGGTTCCCGAGATATGGCCAGTTATCCACCGCGTGTTTAGAAAATTGCAAGAAAAGGGTAAACTTTAGCGGCCATTTTGAGGCAGTTACGACCGAACTTCGCGGGGGTTCAGGGGTGCATCATAAAAATGAACTCTTACCCTATAATAAAATCGAGAAATAACTCAATTATGACGTTCCCGAGATATGGCCAGATTTCCACCGCGTGTTTTGAAAATTGCAAGAAAAGGGCAAACTTTAGCGGGCATTTTGAGGCAGTTACGACCGAATTTCGCGGGGGTTCAAAGGTGCATCTTAAAAATGATCTCTTTTCCTATAATAAAATCGAGTAATAACTGAAATATGACAAAGGGTTCCCGAGATATGACCAGTTATCCACCGCGTGTATAGAAAATTGCAAGAAAAGGGCAAACTTTAGCGGCCATTTTGAGGTAGTTACGACCGAATTTCGCGGGGGTTCAAGGGTGCATTCTAAAAATGCACTCTTACCCTATAATAAAGTCAAAAAATAGCTAGAATATAACAAAGGGTTCCCGAGATATGGCCAGTTTTCCAACACGTGTTTTGAAAATTGCAAGAAAAGGGCAAACTTCAACGGCTATTTTGAGGCAGTTACGACCGAATTTCGCGGGGGGTTCAAAGGTGCATCTTAAAAATGCACTCTTTCCCTATAATAAAATCAAGAAATATCTAGAATGTGACAAAGGGTTCCCGAGATATGGCCAGCTTTCCATCGCATGTTTTGAAAATTGCAAGAAAAGGGCAAATTTTAGAGGCCATTTTGAGGCAGTTACGACCGAATTACGTGTTGTTTCAAGGGTGCATCCTAAAAATGCACTCTTACCCTATAATAAAATCGAGCAATAACTCAAATATCACACAGAGTTCCCGAGATATAGCCAGTTATCCACCGCGTGTTTAAAAAATTGCAAGAAAAGGGCAAACTTTAGCGGCCATTTTGAGGCAGTTACGACCGAATTTCGCGGGGGTTCAGGGGTGCATCATAAAAATGAACTCTTACCCTATAATAAAATCGAGAAATAACTCAATTATGACGTTCCCGAGATATGGCCCGATTTCCACCGCGTGTTTTGAAAATTGCAATAAAAGGGCATACTTTAGCGGGCATTTTGAGGCAGTTACGACCGAATTTCGCGGGGGTTCAAGGGTGCATCTTAGATATGCACTCGTACCCTATAACTAAATCAAGAAATAGCTAGAATATGACAAAGTGTTCCCGAGATATGACCAGTTATCCACCGCGTGTTTAGAAAATTGAAAGCAAAGGGCAAACTTTAGTGGCCATTTTGAGGCAGTTACGACCGAATTTCGCGGGGGTTCAAGGGTGCATTCTAAAAATGCACTCTTACCCTATAATAAAGTCGAAAAATAGCTAGAATATAACAAAGGGTTCCCAAGATATGGCCAGTTTTCCATCACGTGTTTTGAAAATTGCAAGAAAAGGGTAAACTTCAGCGGCCATTTTGAGGCAGTTACGACCGAATTTCGCGGGGGTTCAAAGGTGCATCTTAAAAATGCACTCTTTCCCTATAATAAAATCAAGAAATATCTAGAATGTGACAAAGGGTTCCCGAGATATGGCCAGTTTTCCATCGCGTCTTTTGAAAATTTCAAGAAAAGGGCAAAGTTTGGCGGCCATTTTAAGGCAGTTACGACCGAATTTCGAGGAGGTTTAGAGGTGCATCGTAAAAATGCACTCTTACCCTATAATAAAATCAAGAAATATCTAGAATATGACAAAGGGTTCCCGAGATATGACTAGTTTTCCATCGCGTGTTTTGAAAATTGCAAGAAAAGGGCAAACTTTAGCGGCCATGTTGAAGCAGTTACGACCGAATTTCGCGGGGGTTCAAGGGTGCATCTTAAAAATGCACTCTTACCCTATAATAAAATCGAGAAATAGCTAGAATATGATAAAGGGTTCCCGAGATATGACCAGTTTTCCATCCCGTGTTTTGAAAATTGCAAGAAAAGGGCAAATTTTAGCGGCCATTTTGAGGCAGTTACGACCGAACTTCGCGGAGGTTCAAGGGTACATCTTAAAAATGCACTCTTACCCTATAATAAAATCGAGAAATAGCTAGAATATGACAAAGGGTTCCCGAGATATGGCCAGTTTTCCATCGCGTGTTTTGAAAATTGCAAGAAAAGGGCAATGTTTGGCGGCCATTTTAAGGCAGTTACGACCGAATTTCGAGGGGGTTTAGAGGTGCATCGTAAAAATGCACTCTTACCCTATAATAAAATCGAGAAATAACTAAAATATGACAAAGGGTTCCCGAGATATGGCCAGTTTTACACCGCGTGTTTGGAAATTGCAAGCAAAAGACAAACTTTAGCGGCCATTTTGAGGCAGTTACGACCGAATTTCGCATAACTTCAGGGGTGCATTTTAAAAATGCACTCTTGCCATATCATAAAATAAATAAAAAGAGAAAATATGACGAAAGGTTCCCGAGAGATGGCGTGTTTTCCACCATGTGTTTTGAAAAATGCGAAAAAGGACAAACTTTGTCGTGTTCTTTGTTTAACTATATTTCCCGCAATTAAAATAAACAAGGCACCCTAATTTGCGAGCTATTGCAACACGCACGTCATAATAATATAATTTTATATAAATTTACCAATGCAGTGCAAAGTTACTTTCTCAAGTTCGAAGGGACCTCCTAATGACGAGACACATCATGGCAACAATATGCATTTGGAATGTAAACATCAAACGCAAACATATAAAAATTATGGATATTAGGTGCACAAATTAATCATTAACAAAACACTGCAGATGCATGTTACCACTAAATAGTCAATTGCGAATATGTCGTAAACTAATAGCGGTATAAAGGAACGAATTAAAAAATATTAATCGACGAGAAATTCTCTATAAGGCAAAGTATTAAAATATTGCCAAATGTGCTTCAGTAAAGCAAACAGGGTCGCAACAATTCATGATAAGACTACCTACGCGATTTGCAATAGACACGATACCTGCGATTGAAACTAAACTAAAATATGCTGCATGCAGCAAGTTGATGCGACGAGGGAGACGGCACGCGGGACACATGCGATAAAAAGTTATTTATATCGAATCGTTGATAATAGCACTGTATACAAAATTATTCTCGTGGCCACGTTTGTCAATAAATATAAAAATAAGTCGTAAAACTCGATTTTATGATTTGTAGTACATCCTAGTGCCATGAATCCTACAGATAGTAGTCCCGGAATTTAGATTAATAAAATTGATAACACAATAAAATTCAATTATTATTTCTTATGCTAAAAGATTGACCGATTTTAGATCAAATATTTAAGTGATATATAATTTGAAAATGTATTGCTATATTTAGGTCCATCCAAACATTCAAAATAAAAACTTAAAATGATCAAATTTTATTTTTCTGTGGAAAATTTAAGATCACATTTAATAAAATTTCGGGAAAACTATGAGTTCAATAGTAATATTTTACTAAAATAAAATGCTCAGGGAGACCTTCTATAGCAACTTCCAAAATAAAAACTTTAAAATTACAAATTTAATTTGTCTGTGGAAAATGTAAGTTCACATTTAGTCAAATTACGGGAAAAATATAGGTCCCAGTGTAAAATATTACTAAAGTAAAATGCTCATGAGCACTTCTTACAGGACCATACAAAATACGAACTTTAAATTTCCAAATTTGATTTTTCTGTGGAAAATGTGTCTTTACATTTTATCAAATTGCGGGAAAACTATTAGATCAAGAGTAAAATTTTACTAAAATAAAATGCTCAGGAGGACTTTTTATGACAACATTCAAAATTAAAACTTCAAATTTTCAAATTTAATTTTTCTCGGAAAATGTAAGTTCACATTTAGTCAAATTACGGAGAGTCTATGTCCTAGAGTAAAACTTTACTATGATAAAGTGCTTGACCAAAATTTCCGCAAAAAGAAGTTTGAGATATTTATTCTCTAATTGCAGGAAAACTGTAAACCCGAAAAATAAATATGTACTATTAACGATGAAAAATTTTACTCACCAGTCTATCGAACACCGTAAATCAAATGCAAGTAGATACTGAAATAAACAAGAAACAAAACATTAGTTATAACATTGCCTTAAAAATTGTCTTATTTGCAACAATTATTTGAATAATAATATTTAACAGTTTTATTACTTTCATTGTTGAATACGTAATCCATTTTTGTATAGATGAAAAAATATTTATTTATTAAAGTTATATGCCCTGAGGGCATCTTCATAAACCTGAGTTTTCAGGGCGAAACATGTCAACTCCAATATATAAATGTAAATCTTCAAAAATCTCGTATAACTTTAATAAATAAATATTTTTTCAAATATTTACCAGGTAGGACAGCCGCCCGTCGTGTTCTGCTGAAGACAAAAATGATTCACACAACTTCAAAATATTATATTATTTACAATCACATAACATGGCCGACTGGTGTCCGACGGCAAGCGATCCCAGATACACGCGAAACTAATAAACACACAAAATAAATTAATTCCGAATATTACGCGATAAATTTTTAGCAACTAAAACCCGTCTATTAACACTAAATTCCAGCAAATATAACGCGATATAACGAATTTACAACACGAAACACGAATATCCATGAATCAGTACCTCTCGCATGAAGTAAGAGTTGCGTGCCGGCTACACAACAACTGGGCAAGCCGACTTTCACTCGTAGGAATATTATTAGCGAAAACATGCATTATTGCGCCATCTGAGGTTTCTTTTGAGTACCTCAAGAATATACAAAGTGTATCAAAAAGTGTGGCGTGGATATGAGGCAGTGAGTGATTGGCTATGTGTCAGTCTATGGTCACGCACTTAAATGGCAGTGCCATGTGTCACATAGTCACATGTACACGCAACTGCGCTTCCAAAGCTTCCAATGTAAATGTCGCTAGAATATATTAATTCAAAATAAATGAACTAAACTTTGCAATTTTAATGCAAATATTCAGCCGCCAAGGTCGCTTACAAACCCGTAAAAATACAAATATTTCTCAAAAAAGGTGACAAAGCGATAAATCACCTTTTTATGTAAATTTTCGTGGGTTGCAGGTCGAATTCCTGCAACAGACAAGTATAACCCGACGGAGAATTTAATTCTACATCTCTAGATGCTCCGCTAAAGTTTGTGCGCCGCCCCGTTCGTGCGAAATGATTAAAAATATATATGTATTACGAACACGAGTGTATAAAAGAAGCAAGTAATGATACCTTACCAGTATTTTATGCGTTGCAACACTTCGACAAGGGCATTATTTATTTTATTTTAAATCGGAAGTCGACCGACAAAGCGAATCAAATTCGCATTCAAATTTAGTTCATGACTGCGATCGGAACTCGAAAGCGATTGCTAAAACCAAGAAGAGAATGGGAGTTAGATTCAGCTCCATTTAACTCTGTGTTACAGAAAACGGCTCAATGTTGTCGCTATTTGCAGAGAGCGTATATTTACCGAGAAGTATAGTTGCAACGGTTGCAATATAGTTGCGTAGTTTAACCGTATGAAAACAACACAAACGGTAAACAGCTGTCGTGCAACTAAACTACCAGCGCCACCCAGAGGTACTAAAATTACGTGACACACGCTAACTCTTGCGTCTTTTTCCTATTTAAGTGACAGGGAGCTATTATTGAAAATCAGAAAATAATTAAAAACATAGCTATATATATATTCGTTTATTTATTTATATTTGTTAATATGATTATATATATTAATTCAAGCAATAAATAAATTTTGAAATGTTTGTGACGTAATATCGAACTTGGCCGAAACTGATCCGAGCATGATCTCCACTGCGCGCAATCGCTCATAAGCAACCGTTGGCGTTTCAAATGTTATAAATGTGGTTATAAACGGTTTCGATAGTATCCGTCAAGCACCCCGTCAACTTTTCTCATGCCACTTTTGCTTTGCGGATAAAGTTTCTACCTTACGTTTATATGTACTTACTGTTTTAAAAAATGTCTGCTTCAAACGCTAAGAAAACGAATCTTTGTCCCGTAGTACCAGCAGCTAAAAACACGCGTATCGTCAAAAAGCCAGAGAGGAAGGATTTGAAACCTAATAAATTACCTGCAATACCCTTAAAAACTTCAAACCAGATCAACCTACAAAAGAGTGACAATGCGATTGAAAGTAAAATTGAGAGTAACAAAGTTGCCCCTATTACTAATGGTTTAGTGAAGAAAAATGCAACTGCAGCAACAGGTAGTAAAAATGAAGTAGAAAAGAAAAAAATATCTCAGACGAGTGCTGGGAAGACTGATCAAGCCAGTCGAGTCTGGGTGCTAGATGATTTTGATATTGGTAAGCCACTAGGACGAGGCAAGTTTGCCAATGTCTACTTGGCAAGAGAAAAGACGTCTAAATTTATTGTGGCTATAAAAGTATTGTTCAAAGCTTCTATTCAAGAGACACATAATGAACATCAAGTAAGGAGAGAGATTGAAATTCAGACTCATCTTCGACACCCAAATATTTTGAGAATGTATGGGTATTTTCATGATGAATCAAGAGTTTATTTAATTTTAGAATATGCACCCAAAGGCAAGTGATTTATGTTTATTTTGTATCAAGTAGTTGTTTATATGACTTATTTTCTACTGTATTATGTGGTGTTGAGTGATATTATATTGAGTAGATTTTGACAATGCTTTAGATCCTAAATTTTGAAATTTTGCTTATTTTTAGGTGCTCTTTACAAAAGTTTGCTGCAACAACCTAATCAAAGATTTGATGATGCACAGGCAGCTAAGTACATCTACCAAATGTCTGATGCATTGTTATATTGTCACAGTAAAAAAGTTATACATCGTGATATAAAACCAGAGAACTTGTTACTGGACAGTAAGGGAGACCTGAAGATATCAGACTTTGGATGGTCAGTTCACGCTCCATCTTCTCGACGTACTACACTTTGCGGAACGTTGGATTATCTCTGTCCTGAAATGGTTAAGGGTGAAACTTACAATGAAAAGATTGATTTATGGAGCGTTGGTATTCTGACTTATGAACTCCTTGTCGGAAAGCCACCGTTCGAAACTACAAATTATGATGACACTTACGCACGTATCATGTCGGTTAATTACCGTTTTCCGGACTTCGTGTGTGAAGAAGCGCGCGATCTAATTCGCGGACTTTTGGTAGTGAATCCTGAAGGTCGAATGGATTTGAAGAGTGTGCTCAAACATCCATGGATTTTAAAGCACGTTAAACCCGAGGAAATACCTGGGCCAGTGAAGAAATAATTTGCTTTTGCAGATACACTAGTTATTTTAGCTATTATTGTGATTTTCGTCTTCATTTTTTACTTTTTAATGCATATTACTGTATGTTATCATTGTATTTTATTTGTACCAGTCTTTTTCGAATATATTAATATGGAAACTTCTGTATTCTGTTTATTAACAATTTATTTTGATCTGATTAACAGGCGAACTTGATAATTTAATTTTAACTTTCAATACATATTTATTAAAATACCCAATATGCATATGAATATATTCTACAAGAAATACTTTTAATGTTTTAAGAATATCACATTTAATAAGTACATTTAAGTAAAGAATTAACTGGTTGTGCATTAAAACGATTAACTTTTTCATTGCCCAGAATAAAGTTGATCCCAGTAGAAACAAAATTGTTTGAGTTGCAATTTCCTTTTACTATATATTATTACATGCAATACCTCTTTGGGTAAAATTGATCTATATATAAATTTGTAATAAGTAATGCCTTAACTGTATCTCTTTGACCCTGCATTTCCTTATTCATAACACTTAACAACTTCAAAGATATTAATAAATTGATTAATAGGGATTATAATCTTAATTGTGCTGGCCTTTGTTAAAACTGATTGCCGAGCGTAATTTCTTGCGAATTTTCGGCGACGTCCATTTGCTGGAGTGCCCCGTGCAATGCATTTCGCTTGGTGGAACACCTTCATCAACATCGTCAGCTTCTGTTTTAATTTCCATTTTCTGAAAATCAATATGCATTGTACGCCTGAAAGTTTCGAAATTATTGAATTTACTTACTTGAACGATGAGCCTTAATAGTTGTTGTTGACTTTCCATCATGATGGCAATATCTCTCAACTTTTTCTTTGTTTTGTCTATTTCGTGCACGACGTAATCCTCACTGCTTTCCATGACCATGTCAAGACCTTTAAAAGTATAATTTGTAACAAAGAACAAAAACGAAACAAGTTTGTTACCTAGTATAAGGCACTGACACATCGTTTGAATAATGCACATATAAAGTGAATATTTACATAAATTTGCAAAGCAGTGAAAGCTTTTCAGCAGAGTGAGTAAATGCACAAAAACGCATAACGTCGAATGTAAATCATGCCCCTACCGATTATCTGTGATCTGTTACATTGCCATGGCGATCGGTCTACAGCTTTAGTGCCTGAAATAGCTAAATATTATAGCCCTACAAAAGTAGTAAATAATCCAGAAGAAATGAAATAAAAACTGTAATTATCCTAAGAATGCGTCGAAAGCTAGCTCGTTCAATACTTAACGCATGCGAATTTGATCTAACAAGGATGGCTGATACGCACCGTCATCAGAAAATGGATTGCCGAACCATTTGCGAAGAATTGAATCGAGGAATCCGAGCTTACACTTGGTGTCATTAGGATATTCGATTATGTGGCATTTGTCTACCTTTTCCAGTAACATTTGCGGCAATTTACGTTCTAACTCTGTGTGTAACACCACCTATAAAACCAGTAATATATATATATATATATAGTAATATCCGTTGGTAGTAATTAAGATATAAAATTTGTATTTAATTTAAATTCATTTATATGTACGAGTATTTCTGATTTCGGAACAAACCTGCATTGCCAAACGTTTAAGCTGAGCATTCCGCCTCACTGATTCAATGTCTCCTACAGCAAGACCAATTAGCAGGTTCATTAACAGAATTGGCATCAGCACCATAAAGATGCCAAGCATTAGAAAAGTCGGTAGTGGAAACGGGAGAGTACGTGGTGCGGCTTGGGAGTAAAATGGCTGCACATATGTGCCCAAGAAGTCAATTTCTCCAAGCATCATCGAAAACGTTCTCACTAGCGACATCGGAATGGTTTTGAACGACACATGTTGACCCTGCAACACAAGATTAAAATTTGATTACATAATATATTTAGAGAACAAAACTTTAGGTGTAATCTTACCCGTGATAATAGGATATAAAACGCCATCCCAAATGCAATTATCAAAATGGAAAATACCATTAGTACTTTGATCAAAGTTTGTAAAATCTCTAAGAACATCACGACGTATATTCCAACTTGGTCGAATCTTTGCAGAAGCAGCAGCAAATTTAGCCAGCTCAAGAAAACAGTTAGTGACGCGCAAGAATATTGAACGTCAGGCGTGCCCTCAATAAATATCGGCCCAACCATAATGATCGAAGAGGTATAAAGCACCCATGAAACCAAGTTGATAGGATCCAGAAAGTATAAGTATTTTTGTTGATAGATTTGTATCATTTCACGTATTGAATTTAAACCGATGTAAGTCATTGTTCCCAAAGCGCTCATGTACATCATTGGAGTAATGCGATGCTCTTCATGATATTGATTTAACAATTCCTAAAATATGTTCATGTGAATTTCCGTAAACAAAACAATGCATTTGCTTTCATTTAGAATCTCACCGTTCTAAATGTAGAGTTTTCAATTGATTTGAGAAACTCTTCAGAGGGTTCCTGCGTGTTCATTAGCTGCGAAGAGAAGCACGTGACAAAACCCAAGAATATACTATAAAATAATACATTCGCTAGATGAAAGTATTTCCCATAGGAGTTCCATTTCATTTGGAGATATTTTTGACTGAGTGGATGTGCCAACAACTCGACGCGTCCATGGTTGACCATTGCCTGTAAATTAATCGAAAACAAGTGTAACTGAAGTATTTTGTTTTTGTTAATTTCTTACATTTAAAGCTGGCAAAGGAATTGGTTTGGCCACGTTGAATGCCGAACCCGGCTTGCCATCCATTTCGGCATAGAATTGTGGGCATTGCAAACACGAGAAACTGTATTTAATCTATAAATATCAATAATATAAATTAATTATAATGTTACAGTTACGTGGGATTGACTTACGTAAAATGACTTTGAGTCTTTCTTACAGTTGGCCTTTGTTATGCACTTGTCCTGTACGGCTTCAAACACTCTCGGCATGGAAGCTATCAACGCAAGCGTCACACATGGATGTTTGTTCGATTTCAGCGTCATGACTTCCTCAGCTCTAGAGCGATAAATTCTAAATAAAGCACATATTTACGTTTCACAAAGTGATAATAATTCACCTGTCTTCGTGCGTGACCATTGCTAGCGCAGCTTCTGGAAACTTGTAATAAATTGCGTAGTCCATTGCGCTCATTTCCATGCAGTTGTATAAAAGTTTGCAACCAATTGACAACAGGAGGACAATAGAGTTAGGTTTATTTTCCATTGTCGCTAAGTGAAGTGCAGTATTCTATGAACAAAAAAGTTTGAATTAAATTAACATCATTTTATTTCCTGACTACTTAAAACTATGTATTGTTTTAATATACTTTTTTAAATTATTCTTAAACGATTGGTACTTACCCCGTCCTTATCAGTTTGATCTAATAAATGAGAGTGCACAGAGTAAAGCATTTCAATAGTCTGTGTATAGCCATTCATTGCTGCCAAATGCAGTGGATTGCGTCCATTATGATCGCGATGCAAGAGCGCGCCGCGATTTAGCAGTAATTGCACAACACGTGTGTGTCCTTGTTTGGAGGCGATGTGGAGCGGTGTCAATCCTTCGCCGTCGCTTTCGTTGATAATGAAAGTGCCCTTTTCTGAATCAAGCAATTGCCGTACCGTGTTGAACCGACCGTATCTACGTATACAAACCAAACAAAATCATTTATTACTTAAAACGTTCTAGGTTTGCAATTATGGAATAACAATACTTTTAAACGTAACTTATTTAAAGAAAACTTGGTACAATTAGAAAATTGAAGTAGTTTAATTACCTTGCAGCAAAATGAAGTGGGCTTTCGTTATTGTTATTTTTTAGGTTTATGCATGCTCCCAGACGTATCAAATTTTCTAAACTGCGAATGTGTCCTTCCCGGCTGGCATAGTGCAGCGGAGAGCAGCCAGTGGAGTCTTTCTCGTTCAGAAGTTGGAGAAGGCTGGCCTGGGACTGCGCCTGTTGTTGCCGGAAAAAATGAAATCATGATATATTTAAACTACACATTTTTACGCACTTTAGTTTACAGGTCACTTAATTACATCATATGCAACTAAACTATTTGGTATATATTACTTCTAACATTTACTTCAAATTAGTTTTTATGTAATTAACTTAAGCAACTAACGGTGCTCATGTAATGCCCTTCATCTAAGTGTGAACTATAGCAAATAATATAAGAAGTTATTGTTTACGATATGCTGCAGAATATATGGATTTAACTGATGAGAATTCATTAATCTCGTATATTTTGGGAGTACTCAGTTCCCGTGCCTGCACAGATTAACAAATTCCCCTTTTGCCTATAGTCATCTCTGTATCAACACTGAGGGACTGTTTGTATTCTGTAAAACTTCAACCCTAAAAGAGAAGATAAGAAGCCAAAACATGCACATTACCTTACTCACTTCTGCTGCAAATTGCTCTAAGCGGCCACCGTTCATTACCACTAAATGTAACACATTTCGTCGGTTGCAATCTTTGATGTTAATGTCTGCACCAAGCCGAATGAGAGTGTCTACGGTTCTCCATCCTCCTCTTAATGCAGCCAGCAACAATGGAGATCGCTTTTCCTTATCTATAACGTTTACGTCAGCACCTTCCATGATCAAGTACTCCACAATTTCGGGATGATCAAACATGGCGGCGCAATGAACTGGCGTCATTTTCTGCACATCCATGGAGGCTAAACATATAGTTTTCTCTTCTGGTTGCAGGCGGAACATTAATTTGACTATTTCAGTGGCACCTTGTGCACAAGCGAGGTGTACTGGGGTAGAGAGGTCGTGTTGTTGCGTCGAGATTTTTGCTCCAGACTTAAGACATAGTTCTACTGCTTTGATGTCTCCACCATGGACAGCTGAGTGAAGAGGAACGTTGCCTTCCGAATCGAAGAACGAGATCATCTCTGCCCGAGAGCAACCTCTAGACTCGCCCCACTGCAGAAACACTTCGAGACTTTTGGATGAAGCGTTCTTTGCAGCTTCATGGATGGGGTAGTAGCCATTGTTGCATGGTTTTCGCGGACTTGCGTCAAACTTTTCCATCTGAACAAAACAAATACAATATTGTAACTTGTTACAATAACTAAAATTCAATAATTTTAGTAACAGATGAAATGAAAAATTTAATCGATGGTATAATAACTCCTACCAATATTTTAGCGCATTCTTCAAAATCGAAGATCGCCGCAATGTGAAGTGCAGTGCGGCCATGTTCGCCACCCTGTTGAATGTCGATCTTATCGCGATGTTTACCCATGACTTTAAGCACGCTCACCTTGTCCAACTCGGTGACGAGATGAATGGGTGCTTGCTTTTTTTCGTTTAATATATTTGTCTGCACGCCTCTGGAAGTTTATGCAAAAATGTTTAAAGACATGATTATAAATATGAAATGAATAAAACTATATTTTTCTGCCTCCAACTATAAAACGCCAATTTTTCCATGGGTTTTAGACACAAAAAATGGTACTTTATATACGGACGGCTAAGCCTTGAGTAATATTTATTAACTACGGGCATTATCTACGAGACGGAGCTTGTGCCTGCGCATTTGCATACGGAGCAAAAGAAGATAAGTCTGTCAAACACGTCAAAGCAGTCAAACTTATAACTTTACATTTTGTAAATTTCGATGATTTAAAATACAAATGTAGGAATACAAAATCTTCAACGTGAAACTAGAGTGGAAGTAGAAAAAATAGCGTAAGCATCACGTGGCTTAATGTCGTAAAACACACTTGATTAAACGCTCGCTACGCTCACTCTCCCTCAATCAATCTCGTGAGTAATGTCCCACTTTAGCCTCTTGATACTTAATTCACTGTTATGGAATCATATTGTTAATAAAATAAAAATGTAGAATATGTTGGAGATAAATCACATGTGTATGACAAAAATCTGACAAAAACAGATTAAATATGTTTACTTACACTTCCAAAAGATAATCGACCGCATCTAGTGCTTCGTTCTCGACTGCGACGTGAAGTGGTGTGTTACCCGCATTATCCAGTACGTTCATGTCTGTTGAACAAGAGTATTATGTTTAAAAACAAGATGTGACAAACATTTGCACCTGATTTGAAATAGATACGTATTGTATAAGGTAATGGCAACATTGATTTTTAAATTGAGATTTGTTTCACTTTCAATTTAATTATTACGGAAACACAAGAAAAATATTTGCTTTGTGTTTAATTGCAGTTTGTTATCTCATTAATGATTATAGCAACACTTATTCAGAATACGTCAGAAAACAATCAAAAAGCATTTATTTGTCAATGCATAAATTTTAAGGTTTTGTTATTCTAAAATAATAAGTTTCACGCAAGTACATGACCAATTTCGACAATTGTGTACATGCAATTAAAACTTCTATAATAATTATGTAGTTGATGTTAATGTTAATGTTACGGTTGTATTTGGGTAGTTGATTTTTTGTACTAGTTTCATGTTTAGTTAAATAGTTAGCAAATTCGTTTTGATAAAGTGTCACCCCAACTTTATTTAGATGTTCATGCTAACAAAACGATAGAAGTAGTACTTACCACCACCTTGTGCGACAATGAATTCAAGAATGTTTTTACGATTGCGTGCAGCTGCCTGATGCGTTGCAGTACGACCCCGTATATCCTGGATTGCGAGGCGGGTGGGCTCAGCAAAATACAATCTTTTAAAAGTTTCCAAATTACCACTTTCCGCAGCCTGAGAATAAGCAAAAGTTATAACTCAAAACTGCCAAATTGCAAAATTAAAGTATGAACATTTTAAATATCGTTTTGGGTCATTTATTACATTCATGCAGACAATTGGAAATCACAAAATTCGAACGGGATGAAGTGCAAATAAATTCCAATTTGCATTTGTAATTGATATGTACAAACTATCAAAAGTGAAGTAGCAATAATATGCAACGAAAATTTGATACGCGCTTGTCAAGTGAACCGTTTAAAACATTTTTAGCATAAAGATTTAAAAAAAATAAATGTTGATGTTTTGTGTCATATAAATATGGGTAGCATCCTGAGCGTTGCCAATTAATATGCAAAGGACGACCAAATTTATGCGCAAACAGGCAAAGCGTAGGACACCAGAGTAATTGCTATTTGTCTGCTTACACCATCTTTACTTATTTCTATTTTTCATATCAAAATATACCCAACAGTCGCGCGACGGCAAGAAATGCTAGGCAGTTAATTTAATACATATTTAATGTTCTTAATATAGTTATTTAAATTTGATTTTTAATAAAGTTTGATACCTAGTCTAATTTTGTTACATCAGGGTTCGCTGTGAATATAATGATACACTGTGTTGTTTTGAATTAAATCTGGGTTTAAGCTAAATAAAAAACGTGTGTTTGATTGTGGCACAATGAAATACCAATTAGTTTCAAATAATTTCCAGAAAATTTGAATCCCGAAGAGTTGTCTCTCTTATTACAAACAAAACATTATTGTTTTACAAATAAATGGAACAACACGTATTAAATTACTAGTCTGTTGAATTCTGAACGGACATACTCGTATAAAAAATAACAAAAAGATTTTAATATTTGCAAACCAATTATTAGATAATATAGATATGATAGAAAATATTACAAAATGACAAAAAGTATAGATTTATATTTAACTAATTTTAATATTTGGTTGCATTACCTTTGCACCAATATTTGCTTCTCTTTCGCTCAACTTGAAAAAAATCTGCTTTTGCGTTAAATTTCCGACAAAAAATAATTGTTTATTGTTTTATTTTAAATCACAAATAGAAACATCAAATAAGAGTAGGTAATCAACAGTAATGGAATTTGTTTTAAAAATAAAAGTGAAAGATTTCTATTTAATGTGCTTGCTAACTCAAGTCAAACATTTTGAATTTGAATGTTTTTAAATTTTTTAAATAAAAAACTTGATTCCAATTCATTTTAATTCATATGTGAGTTTAAAATACAATTTAACGAAAAGCAAAACAAAAATTTCAATTAAATTTTTACCGTTGTAAAGTGTTAAAATTGTGTAAACCATTTCTAATCATTCAAAAATGGAAAACAAAATTCTTCAAATCAAGTTAAATTGTTTTTAAACTTTGTTTTGATTTTTTTGAATATGTTTCTCAATTAAAGCATTATAGGCCACCACAAACATTTTGAGTTTGTAATTAAAACTTCTTCATAAATTTTAATAGTATGTTTACAACTACAATTATATGTAACTCAATAATTCATTATTCAATATTTTTTTATAATTATCTATTTAAATCAATGGTAAAATTTAAATAATAGTAAAAACAACTTACAGTAAATGTATTTCAAACTACTATTCCATAAAATCACTGATTCCAGAAATATACTTGCAAAGTAAAATTTTGCGTTACAATTATATTTTCATTACTCGGCAATCTGAATAAAAAATGTTAATTCTGTTTTCATGATATCATTAGGAAAGGACTTTAAATTTTCGTAATACAACTCTTTAATTAGCAGTAGGTAGATCAAATTGCAACATTTGTTTTTGGATATTCATGATAATTATTTCAAATATTTATTTGAAACATGTTCTCAGAATATGTTCTAGATATTAAAAAAAACACAATTCAAGTCAGTGTTCTTATTACATATAATTAATTGGGTCTTTCTATTATGGGCACGTATCGGGCTCACCTCAATGAGCTCCTCGGGTGACAATTTCCGCATGTTGAAATTCTGCCAGCCGAGGACTTTAGTCCACTGCTTTGCTAATCGTAGCGATCCCTTAACGCCGTTGTCTCGATTCGAATGCAAATTGAATCGGTTGAGCACAGAAGATGTCGCGTTATTGAACATTTTGATAGATTTTGGTGCAATCATTTGTATTGTAGTTTAAAAATAGCATTAAAATTGGTTTTTATGGTTTCAGTTTATTTCTTGGCTCGGTTTTTGTTGGTTATATTAACTTTTTTGTTAAAATTACAAATAACTTTGTGTCCAAAACAAATACAACTAAGAGAACTTTTTGCGCCGTTGAGAGTGCATTTGGCTGTTTATTCGGGACGCGTCCGTTTAACGCGGCCGAAAGAAGATGACTGGCGTTGTGCTCCTGCCTGGCGGCGTCGCGTCCTGGCTGGCAAGTGCCGTTGCGACGCGACGCAAAACCTGCTCCTCACGCAGGGCGTTCTGGTTTCAATGTCAATGTTAACTTTAATCTTAATATTTTACTTTAGTTAGAGTTATATCACAATTCAAAATACTATAAATTTTTAAATCATTCCAAAAAATCATAACAAACTACTAAATTCTAAATATGCATTTAAATATGTATTTTGAAATAAATCTATATAAAAAATTGTGATATATTTTAATTTTAATTAACTTTTGAGAGTTTACAATTCTCAATTTTCAATTATCTATACCTACCTGCGCAAAATAAATTGATCAACCCTAGACAAAACATTGTTTCTAGAAATATATCCCTGTAATTATTTTGATTGCATCTGTAAACGTTAATAATTGTCTGAGCGCTGCTAATTTATGTTTTAAATAAATTAATAAACAATTAGCTGCACGACATCGCCCTTTGTGAACGCAAAGCACTTGTGGTACATGTTGCATGTTCATTGCGCACACTTGCCTCTGCTACATCCCTTGAGAGATTGCTAATTATCCCAAATTGCCTTTGAAGAGGAATTTTGAAGAATGCATAAATACAAGTAAACGTAAGTAGATAGTAATGGCTTTTTAAGAAAATTTCGTCTACTAACAAAGGGCTTATAATATATAGACACAATTTTATAATATGATATAATATTAAAGCTATTCTGATAAATATATATATAAATATAAACAAAATTGTCAATAAATTGTAAAATTTGTTAAAACATAAAATATAAATGGACTCTAGACTCCGATTCTATTAAGGTCTAACAATTAACATGTCAGTCAAAAATTGACGAATAATACTTCATGTCTGTCTGAAGAGAAGCTGAATACGTGTTTGAGACTCAAAAAAAATACAACCTAAAATACGTAAACGCATCTTAGTATATATTACTAAGTTGATTTTTAAAAGAGACTCCATTTTTAAGGATTCATTGATACTTCTAGGCTTGATCAAAATAAATGATGAAAATCCATCCAAAGTGCACCTTTTTAATGTATCAAATATAAATATACGACATTGGTCTCCACACTGCCCTTTTATATGTCAAGAAATGTAATATATCAATATTTATTTTGATTAAATAACATTGCCCGAGCATACGCAATCATGTCAGGTTTCTTCTTGTTTTTGTGTGTCATTGGGATCAGTGATATTTCTTTCCTTTATACTACTTGTTATAGTAAATATTCGGAGAGTTTTCTAAAGCAAACGCCATTTCATTGTTAATTTATTTTCTGATATACCTAACACTATTTATTTGTTAACAGAGAGTTTTGAAACACAATAATGCCACTCAAAAAAACTGTTTTTGCTTTGCCTTTCTATAGGAAGCAATATATAGGTATATGCTCTGCATTTAGCATTTTCTTAGATATTATATCAGTTTAGTTGAAAACAAGGTTATATTTATTTTATGTTATTTTTTGTGGAAGCTCTGCCACCGACCAATAGTGGCTTGTTATTACACAATAAAACTCGAATTGCTGATAGCATGGCTTTAGAGAATTTGAAGTAGCAAACGAAAAAAAGGGGTAAATTCTAAATTCTCGTGGTCAATGTACGTTTTATGCATATACAATCGGCTATTTCGACTATAAGCACAGCATTGCATTAGTGGATTTAGTGTGACATGTAACCGTTGATGCAAATACTGAAATATCCAACTCGCATTTTTCTCTAAAGCAAAACGGTGTTTCATGCGTTTAGAGCACTGGTTTAGAGGTTTATCGACGTTATTCCAAGCCCAGAATCATCAAGACAATGAGACTAAAGAATAGCACAGGCAGCGTTGAGAGACAAAACTCTTATTGCATTCGTATGCTTTTTTTTTTTAAATATATGGCATCATAAATCTAGACCCCGCCGCTATGATCAAAACGGGAAAGCGTAATTTACAAAATAATGTTGAAGTTATCACTATGTTGAATAACAATTTTGCCTCTTATAATTGAACGGGTAAATCACTTTCCATACATCAAAAGTGTCAATACAAGGAATTATGGAGAATCGAACTGACTTGAATTAAGCAGAAGTGGCACATTTCCCGGTAACGTTACATAAACCGAGCGAAGTCGAGGCAAGCATATATAGCAAAAAAGTATTTCGTAAAGTTCGGAAATTTTCACAAAAAAAGGGGTCACGAAGTTCGCCGCGCCTGTTATTAATATATATTTTGAACTGTTGAATAGCATTTATTCCAAAAGTTTATATCAAACACAATTTCCGTCCATCCAGCAGGAACGTCGATTGTAAATATATGATAATTAAAAATATTAAGAATTAAGTGCGCTAAACGGCAGTTTAACCAATAGTGTTTACCGCCATAGGTCAAGCAACAAAATCATACCTAATATTAATTAATTATAATAATTATTATAATCGTTATAATAATTATATTATATTTGCTTCAATAATTTTACCACACTGCTTATAATCACTATTGTTATGTTATAAAGAATGAAATTGATGGTATAGTCGAGGCTTCTTGCCAAATAGTTGTCAACTTTTATAAATTGAATCAGGAAGATGTGAATAATTCCATAATAACGTAGTTTTGAGTTGTGAGTGAACATATATTGCGCATTATCTATTTTTAACTGCCGCACACGTACACAAGTATTATCAAAGCACCACAACACGTTATTATAAATTAATTTAAACAATAGTCATGCATACGTTAGCAAGATAAAACAAAAATCAAATAAAAAAAAACTTTATCAAAGTGAATAATTTCGAAAAAATTATAAATTTTATAAAAATTATGTAATTGGAAAATATGTGCATAAAAAAATGTAATTTTTGTTTGGATAAAATTCACTTAGTAAATTTACTTACACGAAGTATACGAAAAGGACTTTCAATCATTAGACAAATCCCTGGCTCTGCGCCACCTCCTCCACCTCCGCCGCTGGCACCACCATCCGCAATATCTTTTCCTTTTCCCTCCACCGACTTTTCAATGGTTATTCCTGATGGCAACATTCCTTGCAATTCGGCTGAGTCTCCAGGAGCGCTTTGCATCAATAAATTCCATGGACGAAAATATCGCAGTTTTGATAAAAGTCCATTCCAATTCTAAAACAATGATTATAAGCTTTAAATATGAAAAGCTTCGGCATTATATCAAAACATTTTAATGATGCCGTAAATACATACACCAGTTTCATGCATATTTCTACATTAATTTCTAATAAACTCTCTACAACTAACTGTATGTACTATCGCATACATAAACCGCGTCTAGACTTGTTTAGTCGCGTTGTTTCACTGTTATTAATTTTCTCTTTTGCGTTGAAACATTTTTCATTATTCGCATCCAAATGTAAGTAACTCAATATTATTAATTCCATTAGTGCGTAAGGTAAATAGTTCATTTTATTGACGTATGTAATATGAGTGATGCAAAACAAGTAATGACTTCGTTAATAAATACGACTATCTCTTTTCAGCTTTGTAATTAGGATGATTGTGTTAACAGTTTTAAAAAATGTGAAATTAATTCGACAACACCTTATATTTTCATGAGAGGTTGATTAATGAAATTAAAATTCTAATTCAACCATATATCACCATTAAAGTAGACATGTCTTATATTTCTCAAATGACAGTTAAATTTTTGCGTACTAATTAACAATTTTGTGATTAGATAATACCTTAGGAGAGTAAGCAAAATCAGCTTTGTTAGTGGTTACTATGAAATCTAAAACTAATTTGATACTACTTGTATCATATAACGTATAAAGTATAAAATATAAAACGCACAAAGGCATGTCATTTAAATACTGCCTCATCATAGATGTCGTTTTTCGTTGTCAATAAATTATACACCTTTAATCACTTATGTGAGTAGGTACTGAAATTTTATACTTGTCGCTTTATTTAACACGCATTCACACTCTCATTATTTCAATGTCAATACAAATGCTTAATTTGTTTTCTTACGAATATTTAGTAAAACTTGAAATGTAAAAATATCGTAAGAATGGAACAAATGTATATTTAAATACATGTGCTGTATGTTTTGTTATTAAAAAAATATCTTTGATTGATGGCATCACATTGTATGGCAAAAACGTATACGAAATAATAAATGTGATTATTTATTTACTAGTTTCTGCCTTCGACTTCGTCTGCGTGGATTTTTAATAAAAACTAACTTAACTTGGAATTATTATGTGGGGACATTGCCAACAAGTTCAATTTTAATTTAAAGAAAAAAAATTCTAATAATGAATATTCGCGCCAGCTCAATACGACTCATTACTAAGTATAATTATATTCAGATGAAGTAAATTTTTTCACGTATTTCTAACTTGAAATTTAATTAAAGTGATTTTTTTACGTACAAAAGCATATTTCTCACTAGAAAATAATATTTAGATGTATTTTTGATTGATACATATAATGCTCATCAACTTTTATGTATTTCACAAGTTAATAAACAAGTTGTAAAGTGTTTTTATTACCAGTAAAATCAGCGAATATAGAATGGCACAAGAGCAAATTGTGTACCGATACCCTATTATTTTTGTATGCATTTTTTTCTTTCTTATTATTTCTTATTTCCCGAAATTTTGTAGGTGAACGTAATTGTTCAATTCTTTATTTCCCTGGTTTCCCAAAGCAATGTCGAATGCTATTCAAGCCGAATAGAGATAATGTAATTATGGACAAAATAAAAATACACATTAATATGCTATAATAACCGTAATAACAAAAGGTGTAATTATTCACCAATAATTACAAGTGGGTATTATTCTCTGTTAATTAAAATATTGTATAAATACAAATAAATACTAAAGTAGTATTAGTGGTATTACTATTTTTTTCAAATGGGCATAAAATCATGCAACGTTTAACTATGCATTGCAATAAACTAATTACAAATTACGAACTTTTCGGAATGTATGATGTTATCTTGGTTGGCCATCTGTCAAGTCTTGTAATCATCACAATGACACGCCACGCGCTACATTTTTCCCACTCGATATAATTGCCAAATAAGTTAAATATGCATTTGTATTGATTTTAACATATACAAAAAAATACTTAGTGCAAATACTATGTATTCATTTAAATAATTATGAAAACCAGGTATAAATTTTCAGTATCGGCTCGAATGAGTGATTAAAAATATTTTATTTATAATTTATATATATATATATATATATAGCACTTACGTTTCTAGCTTCATTATTATTTTCAGATGTGTAAGGGGAATCTTCCTTCTTGTCGTTTGAAATTGAATCCATTGCCTTGGTCGAACCAGTATTGCGAACTGCTGGCGGTGGCAACGCTTCTAGCTGCGATGGTGCTGATGGTAGCTGCTGAAGGATTTCTTGCAGAGCTTTCTGTTTCTTAACATCGACGGTATGCTGGTCGGCATCGTATATGTTGGGTATAACTTGAATGATAGGCGTTGGCGGATTCATCGGACGCACGGTCTCCTCAGCGTCGATGCGCCACGAACGTAACAGACTGATTACGTATAGGAAGTTGGGCATTTTATTCGAAGTTGGATATTTGCGATGCCAATGATGCGCAGCCAATTGCACGCAATTGCCACGAAAATAAATCCTCACTAAAACTAGGCAGGACGTTGTGGGAACAGTAACCGTAATAACTCATTCGCGCCAAGCAATAAAGCGGAGGAAAGTGTTCATAAACTTGAAATGTAAATATTTTCTCTGAGCAATAGCGATTGATATTTTTTAATAGATCTATCCAGCACATATAGAAAAATATCTGTTTGATGAACGCTTTTACTTACCTGAAACAAAACTAGTTAGCTCATCGTATTATATAGCATGATTGTTATTTAAATATTCTGGTGTTCATTTGAAATCAGTTGCTTTTTGTTATTTTCTGATGTAACAAATGTTTTCATCAAGTGGCAAGTGTCGTTGACTACACACCCCGACGTAATGCCGCCTCCTCTTTATTCATCGTCAATCGTCCCCGTGAACGTGTCGACGCGTCCGCACGTCCCATCAACTCCGTCACGAACTAATCAGGATAAATGTAATCAAATTGCTGCTAGCATACAGTGTGTTATTCAGATGCCCGGATGATTAAAAGTTGTGAAATATTACGATATATTTGTCATATGTTTTAAGCATGTCAATCTGTACTCTAGAAATAATTTTTTTTCAAAATTTTTAATTTACTAAGACATAGATATGGTGTATGCTCAGATTATATTAAACAGAAAATTAAAGAACGTATTCAATGTGGAAACACTTGAATATGCAAAGCTTTAAATAGTTGCAAGTTGTGTATATTACTAATACTTATTACTTTGAACCACATTCAAGGATTTTTATTAACTATAATCTAAATACTATTATCAATATACGATTGGTAGAAGAAAGCATTGTGAAAAAAGCGTAGCGAACGTTTCATCAATCGAGTGTTTAACATCGTTTAGCCACGTGATGCATACGCTATCTTTTCTACTTGCACAGTATTTCCACGTATAGGTTTTTGAATTAGAATCTTTGAATTTTTAATCATGGAAATTCGCTCCCACACTACTGTTACAGCAGCGTCTGCTTTATATAGGTAAATGCGCAGGTGCAAGCACTGCCCCGTAGATAATGCTTGTGAGTAAAGTGCTTTACACACGGCTTGTCGTGCGTATATAAAGTAAAAAGAAGAAGAAAAAAGAAGAAAATCATAATTTTTGAAACAATATTTTAGAAGCTTTTGTTGGAGTTGGCGCGCGGGGCAGCGCAACATCATATCTCAAACGAATGTTTCTCGTCAGTAGCATCAAATCCAAGAATCTATACCACATTCAATGCTATTTTAAAGTATCGATATGTGTGTATAGAATTCATAAATAAAGCCTGGTCTTTGCTCTCGTAGTGTTTTGCTTAATTTGAAATTTAAACGGTACTGTTGAAATTGTAGGGTCATTTTGTTACATGATTAATAAAACTGGATAACAAAATGAAAAAGTGGATCAATAAATTTTTATAGAAATTTGTGCACAAATTATTAAAATCCCAAATTACGTGACGCTAATCGAAACGGTACTTATCTTATATAGCTAATACCTATATACTGATATCGAATGGGATGTTGTACCCAGTTGTATGTGTTCAACTCTAGCAGGTTCAAACCCTGTCACTGCAAAAATAATTTCGTACTCACACTCCTCATTTCCCAATGGTTGGATTGAGACTTGTCGCTGTAAAATGAATATTCTAGCAGGACCCAGTTTGGATGGGATAAAGCCAGTCTCAGATGGCGGATATCGCTATATAAATAAACAATGTTGATAATATTGATAAAATCTATAAGTATTTTAAATTTTGTTTTATTGGCATACAATTGAGACGACAGTTGAATATACTACTAAGGCAAAACACGTTTGAACACAAAATCAACGTGGAGCACTACAGATTAAGAATATAAATCAATAATATTTTGTTATCGCATAAGTTTTTATAACAAAATAATTATTTGGCTTTCCATGACTAAGCTCCCAATAATTTCTTTACGCTGTATCCGGGCATACTATACACAAAGAGACCGAAGAAAAGTGCTCCCAGAACAATAATCAGACAGATTACTAGTTTCCACTTTAAACCTTTCCATATTATAAATCTGCAGGTTTTCCAGGGATTGAAAAGCCAATTAAACGATGTTGATGGACGCCTGAAACATTTAGTCTATATAATAATTACATAACACAAGGCAACAGTATCATTCAATAATTGATACTCCACGTAAGGATTCAAAGAATCTTCTATTGTGATATTGCTAGGATTCATTAATTAGTTTTCAATGAAAAACACATCCGGCACAACAATAATAATAAAAATCATAATAAAAATAACAATAAAACAAATCAGAACTCATTAGTTTGTGCAGAATACCACATTAGAGTATTACTTGATGATTCAATTGATGAGTAAAATATATATCTAGAAAATATACAATATAGCGCAGAAATATTAGTTGTCAAAAATTAATACAAATTGCATATTAATCAAATATTTGCTGTAGATATGCTATTTATATGTTGATATTGTGAAGTAGTATAATTTATAACAGTGTACATTTGGTTCACCCATTGACTACACTCAACATTGGAGAGTCTACACTCTAATATGTGTAGGTATGCCAACACTGTATCGCATAGCCCTTCATTAAAATACGTTTAACGATGTAAAATGGTTATAACCGTAATCGAGACCTTAATTCATATAAGCAAAAATTCTAGACTGAATATGGAAATAACAAATTTAAGCAATTAACACAAAACCTGCCTACACAGCTTTCGGCATGCTTTTATATTAACAATAAGGTACCACTGTTGTTTGGATTTTTAAATAATGGGAAATTAAATTTTATAGTAAATTAAATTTTTACTAAAGTAGAATATATGGTTTCAGAATTTGTTAAACTTTACGGTTTTATTTGACATAATAAGTAGATTTGTCACTACTTACTTTGGTGGAGGCAACGGTTGCGGTGGATTCCTTCCTAACCCTGCAGGCGCAATACTAGCTTGATCCATAGTAACCAACTCAAATTCAGCTTCCAATTTTCCCTTAAAGATTCATAAAAACCAGCTCAAAATTAAAAAAAAACTATTTTGATTGGCGCCTTACTGAAACAATCGATTTCATGTGGTTGTTTTTTTGCTTTGTTTGGAACGGCCACCAACCTCTGGTGCGCTTAATTTTAAACAGGTTGAAACGAGGCGCTTCCTCAAATGTACGAATGGTACATTGACGCGCATGCTTTGCACCTCTTGGCATGCGATTCAAGTAGAATGTCATTGACCCTAGAGACATAATTAGGTGTAATTATCCATTTATGTTTATAATACTTACCCAAAAAGTCGTCCTTTGAGAACACGTCATTGTCCCAAACTTGCAACGTGAGGCGACAGGGTAATTTTTGTTTGGTTTGCGTCACATCAAATGCCGTGTTCTTCTTCTTTTCGATTATCATGTTCTCGGCAGAGAGATAGTCGAAGATGAAAACAAATCGCCAATTAAAATTTCCTTCGCCGGTAAGGGAACGATAATGAACATCAGTTTCCTGTGCATTTCCAGGGTCTGTTAACCATCTATAAACACAGAAATATGCTTATATTAATCTGTAATAATACATATGATTGGCATTAGGTTTCATTATTTGTTAATGAGAAGTGAGTGTTGCACGCATTTAGTTTAAAGAAGTTTTTTTTGTTTAACTTTTACCCTTTGACATAAATATCAGACTTTCGATCTCCAAAGAAATCGTCTTCGTTAAGAACAACTTGATCTGTATTCCAGATGATGACACGAAGTTCATACGAAACCGGCGCTCGAGTTTTAATGTTTACTTGATGTGGCATTGGCGTGTCGCCAATTGGAAAAATGTCGATCCACATTTGCAGTTTACCCTTATAACACAAGCATAACGGTAAACGAAAATGTATGAAACGGAATAAATGCAAAATACACCTGTTCGATTCCGGGAGTGTCGGGATGAAACAATGAACGGGTTTCTACGTGTTCGGGAACAAGATGGAAACCATGAATTGGGATTTCATTCCATTTGTGCAAAACGAATAACGCTAACATTTCCTTTTTTACAAACTCCGGTTCGGCTTCTCTAGCTGTCGAGTATAAAATTGTATTTTCAAATATAAACAGGAAACAACTTTAAAATATAAATTTATACCTTTTTCAGGAGGCATTACGAATACTTGATGTCCAATCACAAGTTTGTTTTCATCTTTGTATTGAGGCATTGGTAAATTATGAGTTTCGCATAAACGTTGTAATATTTCTGTTGGTTCTTGCTTATCTCGCCATGGCGTTTCTCCAAATCTAAATGTATAGATAATCTTTGTAGAAAATATAATTTTGTGTAATTATTTTTTTTACAAGGTGTATTCAAATGGTAAGCCACAATAAGCACGATGTCGACTATAGAAACGATTTTCGATATCGATCTGTGTCTGTCCAATAAGATCCGAATGCGTATGCTTGTCCCAATCATATATTGAAACCTTCACGGTATTGTCTTTCGGGAATACTCCTTCCATTTCAAAGCATCTGGGCAGAATTAATGTGTTATTCTTACTTTTATCAAACTAATCAATATAAAGCTATAACTCAATCTAGGCTACAGCCCGAACTCTGCTGGGAAATAGCTTAAAAACTATTTATATGCATATGGACAGATTCCTCAAACAGCTAGTTTTAAATGGTTAAGCTATTGAATACGAGGGGGCAGGCTATGCCTAATATAGTATGCAAACATACTTTCCGTAAAATGGATCAGCACTTTTCGGCACAAAATTTTTCTTATCATCGATTACTTGCTGATTTAAACGGATTACAATATATGAATCACAAGAACCTGATTGATCGGCGGGACGTAATTTAATCCCCCGCACGCAGTAAATGCGCAGAATGAATGGCGTTTCAATATTTGAAGGTAACTCAGTGAAAAATCCATCTTTCAGTAATTTGCCTTGTGGAGTTATGAAATTGTTATAATTGCCATTATCTTCCCATTTGTATGCTCGTATCTTGCACTTTACGGTGGCAATTTGGGCTTTTTCATCTTCATATTTATCACCAATGGTTTTACCACGATAAATGCGATGAGTATCGAACACGTCTTCAAAATGATTGAAGTGTTGTTCTAGCTCGCTGTTAAAAATCTAGATAAAAATTTGCTTATCACTTTTAATTAAACTTTGCCATATCCAGGCTTACGCACCTTAACTTTAAAATTAACATCAAATAGATTATCGGCTTGAGTGTATGGATCCTGAAAAATATAAAATTATTTTGGAAATAACAACTTAAAACGCAATTGATATCTAATTGATAAACATTCCGTGAAATCAGTATTTGTAACTTGTTTGCGCAAATTAATGAAATTGATTTAAAATATCATGATTACATGTCACTTTAAGTTTTAAAGTAGGTAAAGTAGGTGATGATTAACGAATCATTGCAATACTAAAAATATAACCAAATTTATATAACATACTCCAAGCGAATTGAAGTATTTACTCCACCAATCTTTAATATCATTGACTTCTGTATCAGCCACATCAATCACGGTCTCCTTGGTGCGAAAAAACTTCAATGGTTCATCGTCTTTTTGCAACTTCTTTTTATTTTTCTTGAACATGCGACCGCAGCCGCAACACAGAAGAAAACAACAGATGAAACGCAAACTTTTCTTAAAACACTTCCAACCTGCTTTGCGGCACATCTTGCAAAGTCCACAAAAATTACTTGCGCTACAAATTAATTGAAACCGCCATTTCATGTATTTTTTTCGTTCCTCACGCCTTTTCTGTTTGCGCAGGTCTTCTAATTGTTCTTCCAATTCGGACTGAGTTTTGCTGGCGATGCTTTGCAAGGAAGTGCGCACTGCCTCTTTCATTTTACTTTTGTATTCTGTTAAACTAATCGGTTGATACATAAATTCTTGAATAAAGCTCAAATGCGTGCCTGCGTAATGGCATCGCCCAAAATGTTTGCATTCAAAGAGTTTTATCATAATTGGAGGAATGAAGCTTAGCACACTTGGCAATTGCTAATAAAAGTATAAAATTAACACCATATACAGATAAAGAAATTAATTATTGTACCATATCGACTACCCACAAGGTCTTGGAAAAGTTTAAATTCTGAATTTTGGCAATTTCCGTTTCTATTTTATACTCATTACATTCAATAACAATTTTGGGTGCTTTGATTGGCACGTGCCTCAGTTTTTTTAAATGGCGGACACCCCAGATAAACAATTCAAAACGATAGTTGACCAAAATTGGGCGAATATCTTCTGGAATTGACATAGTGAGCCCATTTTCGGGAACCATAAGATTATCCTCATCGGTTTCCGAAATCTATGTGAATCAATACTTCAATATTTACACTATAATTAAATAACACTATTGAACTCACTTCGAAAAATTCAACACATGCCAATACTTGTCCAACTTCCACCTCGTCTATTTTGATTGTATGCCATTCAAGTTTTGGAGGAAATTTTGGAGGAGAATAAGTTTCATCTTTAAATTTAATTGTTGGCTGAATCAAACAAAATCCAACATATTCCAATGACTGAAATAAAATTGGTTTATCTGCGGTTTTTCCTTGATTAAATATAATAAAATTTTCAAGGTTAAGCAGATCGATCTAATCAATAAATTAAATCAAATTCTAATGTTTGAAAGTGTAAAGTCTAAACTAATCAAATATAGCTACATAATTAATACCTAATGATTAATTTATGATTGTAGTTGATTAAATATGTATAAAAGTTTACCCATTTATCTTGATCGTTGACTTCTAGAACAATAGGTGGAGGCTTGTTTGTAATTTCTTGGCGTGTGCCATAACATACCAAGTTTTTGAATATCAGTGTCTCATCCCAAATTGGATTAAGTGTCTTTTTAAGTGGCTGCAAACGTTTAGTTAGTACTTTGAATACTTTAGTTATTTTTAAATTTACCCGTGTATGCTTTGATTGATCATGGATGATAACGCGTGCCATAAAGTCCGATAAACCAGTATAATCAAACGCAAGTACGAATCGACCTTGATAGATATGAACACGTCCATTGAAAACCTAAAACGCAATTGCATAGCAACAATGTATGTTGCACGAAAATCTGGCCACGTACCACATAATCCTCTAAAATGAGATATTTTGGTATTCTTGAGTACTTGTTTACTGCATCGCTGTGTTTCTCGCCTTGCGTAATAATTTCTGGCATTTTGAAGCCATCAGGAATCGCCTCAAAACAGTACTGCATCTGATGTTCTAGACCCAGCCAAAGGAAAAGTTCCACTTTGCATACGACCGGTGATAATGACTTAGAATATTTGTTGGTCATAAAATAAAAATTATTTAATTGGCCACAGTACTTGCCTTTTTCTTCGGGAATATCTGAATATATGAGTTCGCGAGGTGCGAAACGTAGGCATTCAGTTTTTCGGTTACCATTTTTCATCCAGAGATATACATTAGGCCAACATTCTTGTGGCTGTGTATACAAATAAATTAATTGAAATTTTTTTTAGACAATAAACATACATAATCCAGTAATTTCAGCAATTGCATATAAAATTTTTCTGCCGTTTGGTAAGACTTCTTTTTCATTCGTGAAATATATGCACTTTTGCATGCTGTTACTAATTCTGTGAATTCATCTGTGATGAGCCGGTTTTTATTAATGTCTTGTTTGGTCTCATACAATTGTTGGGATGTTTTAGATAATTCAATAAATCTTTGGCAAGAACTGGACACATAATCAAAATATTCCTGCAATTTTTCTCCAATTATATCACTATTACTTACAAAAATATCCGATTTAAATAAGTGTTTAATTTCCTGCAATTTTTCTGCCTGTAAAATCATCTAATGTGAATAAAATACATAAAATATATAACGAAATACCATGGTTGTGATCAGTTTATCAATTTGATTGGTTTTATACATTCTCCTACGTAAACTAGGATAATAATTAATAATGTGCATGCATGGAATGGTACCGTCAAAGTTTATACACCAAAACTCTTCATTTGTTGTAAATGGTTTGTATTTTGGTGTTACAACGTGTGGTGTAATATCTATATTATTTTCTGTATCTTTAAGGATTTGCATTCTACCCCAATTCAACTCAAACGAGATTAGTTGTTTTGTATATCGTTTATCAACAACTGATACATTTGCAATTGTTGCGAACAGAAATACATTTTCAATTTCCCATAAGTTGGGCTGAAATTTGAAACAAATGTCAAAGTGCTAAAACTATATAATTTATAAATACGTCAAAAACTGGAGGAATTTCATCATTAAAAGTGCATCTAGTTTTAGTTGGTGCGTCTGAAAATACCAAAGTTTCCATCGCAATCAAAACCTTTCCAACATACTCTTCGCCCATTGCACAAGTTTTATAAAAATGCAGATAACATGGGCCAAATGTTGGTAAAAAACCATTAGGTTTGTAGCTGCATAACGAATGCAAATTAATATATCTGGTTACATGGACAGCATTCGACCGTTTATGCTTGTAGAAAAGTTCAAATTTAATACGTTGACTAAGTGGAGGATACAATTCCGATATTGTAATACTTTCGTTCCAGACTGGATATGACGTTCGTTTTTTAACAGAAGATTGGCCCTGTGAATAGTCAAATTTATTAATGTACATTCACTTTTAGACATTTTTATTACAGATAATCCTGCAAATGATATTTTTATTCCAACATCTGGCAAATTATTTTTTTCTGAATCTGTCATTTCATTTTCTGGTATATTATCCTCTATCACCGAAGTCCCACGTCTCATCTTTATGATATCAAAACCTCTGTATAACTTAAAAATAAAAAGAGCCTTTTTTCTTTCAGTCACGCCTTCAGGTAGCAGTATATTTCTAAAAATATTTGTGTCTAAAATATTTATCATAAGAGGACAAAACATGTTACATTACCCTTCGATTTCATTATCACTTAAAGGGTTTACAATTGGGATGCTTGGTATCTGACCTTCGGTTAAAATGCTAATTGTGACTTTTAGGAATCCCATTGGACCGGAAAAGTTAGATTTCGGACTACTTAAAATTGCCCATTTTCTATAAAATTGGTGATCTTTTTCTTCCCATATAGTTGCGAAGTCTAAAGTAACATAGCCAAGTATTTTACGAAGTTTGCAGCAAGCTCTTGGTCGGTACACCTTGAAACCGAAAGTGTTTAAATGATAACAAATATAATTCTCAACATAATAAATAATTACTGTCAGGGTTAAATGATTATCCAGCAATTTGCTAAGTTCCATCTTCTTAAACTCAAACACAAAATACTACAAGAAAATAATTGTTTAGTTGTTCTATTCATGAAATATGATATTAGTAAAAATCATGATTACTTCATTGTAGTACGGTGCATCTGTTCCATAGCGAATCTTGGTAACAGCCTTTTGTTTTTCAATCTTTATATGCACAAAAGAGTTCATGTTTGGCCAGGCATAATGCCTGCCTTCAAGGATTGTTATGTTGATAAGAAATGACTCACATTTTTTGGGCCGATAACCTTTGGATGACATCTGTTCAATAGCGTCAAAATTATCATGGCAAATATGATAGTTTTAAGCAATTGACAAGTGGCTCCATAATACAAAAAAGTTTTATTTTTTATAGATAAGATTATATCTATTGGAAATGAACGGATATTATCAAGTGCACTTATGATGTTTATTATTGATTTATTTCGGATTCAAAATTAGTATAAATTGAGGAACGACTGAAGCTGAATTCAGTCTGAGGTTTCCTTCTGATCGACTAACATACAACAACCGTAAGCAATACAATTTTTATTTTAACCTGATAAAATTTACATACTTTTTTTACTATTTGTAGATGAAATCCTTTGTCGCTATCTTCGCCCTTGTGGCTGCCCTTGGCATGGCTTCTGCCGCCCCAACCCGTGACTTGCAGAGCGATCTGCATGAATTTGTTGAGCTCATCCCGATCGCCGAGATGAGGGAAGTTGCAAAGAGGTACATTGCTACCGATGCCGAAGTACAGCGTGCATTGAAATACCTTCAGGGACCCGAATGGGCTGAGCTTGTGCAGATCGTACATGATCATCCCACTTGGCAGGAATTCAAGGCTTTCCTTTTGGAGGCTGGTATTAACATTGACGACATCATTGCCATGATCCACGACATCATCAGCGGCGCTGGCAAATCCGCCAATGTTCACTCTACCCGTGGCATGAGGGAATTCATCGATGAACTTAAGGCCCTTGTCCCCACTGACAAACTTATTGCTCTTTTGGGAGACAAACTTTCCAACAGCGCTGATTTCCAGGAATTCTGGGTCAAAATCTCTGGTGACAAAGCTCACAAGATGTTTGATGAAATCCGTGCTCTTCCTGAAGTTCAACGTGTTGCTGATGTTCTTCGTGAGATGGGAATCGACGTTGACAAGGTTCTTGATGTTATTTACACTCTGTTCGGCTGGAACTAAGTGAAAATATAAATCTTGCAATGTTCATTGTTAACTGATAAAAATAAAATAATTAAAAAATAAGAAAATAGTATTTTATTAATGTAGTACCAACATACCTTTTTGGAAATGCACTAATGTATGTTTCGCTTGAAATACCTAAAATTCTCAAAAGATATATATGGTGTAGAAAACACCCAGTATCTCATAAATCTAATTGTCATTTTAAAAGTTTGTCACCGCCATATTAACGCTCGAGAGTTCCTCTCCACGATGCATACCTTGTCCATCTTCTAAGCCTTTTAGAAGTGCCCCAAAACTCTCTTTAAAAATTGACATATTTAAAAAAAAAAATTTAACATGACGCGCAAAACACCGTGTATCTCGCGAACTAATTACATTTTTTAAAGTTTGTCAAGGCAATTTTAAAGTTAGAAAGTCTCCCTACATAATACATTCCTTTTCAATCTTTGAACCCTTCCGGAAGAGCCCTTGAATGCACCTTAAAAAATGGCATTTTTCAAAATAATTGAAAACATGGTGTGAAAAATACGCAGTATCTAGAGAACTATTTGACTTTTTTAAAGTTTTTTATTGCCATCTTGAAGTTTGAGAGTGTCCCTACGTGATCCATATTTTTCTAACTCCTTTACCTTTCCAGAAGTGCCCTAAAAAGCACCTCGAAAATAGCTATTTTTGTCCCAAAAAATTCATTTTTTGGTCGAACAACAGGGTCAAACTCAAGATACGGCGTATTTTTCACACCATGTTTTCAATTATTTTGAAAAATGACATTTTTTTAAGTGCATTCTAGGGCTCTTCCGGAAGGGTTAAAAGATTGAAAAGGAATGTATTGTGTAGGGAAACTTTCGAACTTTAAAATTACCTTGAGAAACTTTAAAAAATTCAATTAGTTCGCGAAATACAGGGTGTTTTGAGCGCCATGTTTTAATTTTAGTTTGAAAAATGTCAATTTTTAAATAGAGTTTTGTTGCACTTCGAAAAGGCCAAGCAGATAGACAAAGTATGCATCGTGTGGAGGAACTCTCAAGCTTTAATATGGCGGTAACAAACTTTAAAAATGTCAATTTTTTCACGAGATACGCGATACATACTTTATGAAAAATGCTACTTTCTAAAAAGCACTTTTAAGCATTTTCAAAAGTGCTAGGGGGTTGCAAATGTATGCATCGTGTAGGGAAACTCTCTATCTCTAACATTGCGTTGAGAAACTATAAAAAAGTCATATAGTTCGGGAGATACTGGGTGTTATTTTGCAGACCACAATAAAAACGAAATTTTCCAGTATTACGATAAATCTTGGTTAAAAGCAACGTGCCGAAACCAGGGATTGAACCAGGAACCTTTTGATCTTCAGTCTAACGCTATCCCATACAAATAAGAAATTTCAAATTCTGAAATACATTTAAATCAAAGACACACGAATCATTTTGGTGTGATACAGGATGGCAGAATGGTACAGCATGCTTTTAAATTTTTTTTGAGAAATGTTAACTTTAGAAAGTTATTTTAGGGCATTTCCAAAGGGTTTTTTAAAATGACGAAAGTGGGCCGTCACGGGCTCTAGTCGTATATAGGTATATATATTTTTTAATTGCTAATATTTACTTTAATGTTTTATATCTGTTTAGAGGCCCGAGAGTACCAACAAACTCTATTTAAATCATAAATTACTATGATAAGAAATGTAACATTATGTAAATTTACGTCGGTTAAAAGATATTTTGTTCTAAAATATTGCAAAGTAGAATTACTAAATTCACTGCTAAATAAAAGTTTAAAATACAAGCAGGTTTTTTAAGTTTTGAGAATACATATAACACTAATTCAATCAAGCCGTAAGTAGCGGTGAGTAATTCTATTGACTTCTTCTTTAAATACAACAAACTAAATTCAAGAAAATATTAATTTGTAGATGACCAATTTGTGGATATTTGCATTATGTTTTGTACTATTGATATGCATTATTGATGGTACCAACGCTGCTTCACCAGAAGGATGGTTTCAAGAAGCCTACACCTGGATCGAAAATGCTTTTTTTACCGCACGTGATTTTGTGCGTTCTATTTGGGATAGGTTTTTTTAATGTACATAATATTACAAATAATATGGGATTGTTCTAAATAAATTTAAAAAAAAAACTACATTATAACTAATAACTACAAATAAACAACAAAATCAAAGCTACACATTATTCTGGTGCTGGTTTATTTATATACAGACATTTCAAAGTAATCACAACATTTCAAATAATACGCAACACGACGTATATTCGTCTACTAATTATTTACGATTCTGTAATATTTCGATTAAGTAGAATTAACAAATGCGTCGTTATTCCAACCGTGCACAGATAAATAATGAAATTACGTTAACATTTATGTATTTATTTATAAGTGTAATCATATTCATTGCGCATGTGAGTATTCACGAAATCAGATTTAGCAATTCATTATGAATACGTACGGAGCTGCACGCTTAACATAAAATAAATAATAAATATTATCTAGAAACAATTTACAAAATACGTACAATAAGTAATATAATCATTATGGAATTTTTGCATGATCTATGCAATTGCACTTTTCTTGTTCTTATTTTAATGGCTAGAGAGACAGGTAGGCGTGGATTAAGTCTATGCCCTACTTAGAATTACGCAGCTCACGCTCATTTTACGAGAAAAAGCTTTGAACTTATAGAGTATCACTATTTCTGGGAAGGAACATTGTTTTTACGACACCCTACAACCAAGGTGTTAATACATCTCTCCGAAATTAAGAGTTTGCGAGTTGCCAGAATGTATATGATGATGGATTTCGTCCAGAGAAGTTTGGTGAGATATAACGCCACTGTCAATAAGTGGGTTTGTTCCTCCTGGTGGAAGTTGACCGTTGCTGTTGTTGCCGGTGCCGCCACCGCTTTGTGATCCCTCCTGTCGCATTATATTTCGCCTCCACTTTGCTCTTGCATTTTGAAACCACACCTAGAAAAATATTACATTTATAAAACAAACCTAGACCACAAAAAAGTAATATAGAGCTGACAGGAAAGTCAATGTAATTTACCTGCAGCACACGTTTTGACAATCCCGTCTTTTGGGCCAACTGCTTGAGGTCTTTTGCATCTGGATTCTGATTGATAGCAAAGTATGTTTTCATGGTCCTAAGTTGATGATGCTTGAATGAAGTGCGCATTCGTTTGGAGCGCTGATTATGGTGGCCAGTACTAGACGCGGGCGATGTTACAGACGAATCGTATGAGAGAGAATCCATGCTAGCCGATGAAAGATCACCTTGTTGTAACATTTCTGCAAATTGAAGAAGCAAAACTTGTTTACCTACAATTATTTTCAAATGTATGCGGTTCTAGTCAATATTCTTTCAATAACATAAGTAAACACGGCGTTTCAGGGGACAATCTACATTTCCAAATGGTTTCATATAAAATGTTGGATTAAAAGAATTTCCACAGCCATCCAAATCAATATGTTGTTAATATAGGTATAGCCAGTGAGTGTGGGTGTGTAAACTCAAACAAACGCACTTGAGCACGTATGTAGGGTTATTCCGCGCAAACTCCTGCCGAAGCACAATTTTATCGTTCTGGCGCACCCCGCATCACCCCGTCCAGCGCTCTTTGTGCGTTGTTGGCAAACGGACAAGTTCGCAGCGGGCGCACGTTTTACATTCATCAGCGCTCCTGTTTCACAGCAGTTTGAGGGTCCTCGAATGAAACGTATGCAAAACTAAATAAATACGCTAGCGCAAACGTCACACTACGCCAACTTCACCATTCGTTAGCTGCGAAAGTTTCGCGTCATTCAGTCAGTCAGTTACTTAGATTTCTATAGCCTACAATCCCCTTCCAACAAGAGGGAAACGAAAGCGAAATACACCTCAAAGCCCAAATTGGTGGCGTGTAGCCTTTTCAAGAGGATTAAGTCAATACACACACTCGCATTGAATTGATATCTTTTCTTTTCATATTTCTCTTATTTACGAGTATTTCTAGGCTGTCTTGTTAGCCAGACTTGCATGCATTGTCTCTTCCGGTCTGTTGCGGCTAACTGCTTGACGTTGGCGAATTAAAATTTGCAGATAACAGAATTAGCTAGCATGTTGGATAATAATTGTCGATCACATGGTGCGTAGCGCGTATCCGTCAGAGTGCCTGCTGATTTGATTCCGAAGGCGCTTCCAGGCACGCAGCAGACGCAGAAAGCCAGACAATTCAAATAACACGCCGGCCGACGATGAGTCTGGCAATGGTAATGCGGTAAGCAATGGTTAAACACATCTTAGTTATCTTAATGCGTGTATAATATTCCGGGGCGCATACAGTGTGCGATTGTTAGGATTCCAAGCAGAGAACAATGATAACAAAGTTACAGCAGTTAATAAAGCCCTTGTATGCTTCTTCTAGTTGTTAAATTTGAATGAGATCGCAATAAAGAATTAATAAGGTGGCATTAAGACACATCAGCACATCGTACCCTTGGCCGCAGTTATGTATATGGTGTAAAAAGATTGAAGATAATTATGTAAAGTAATAGCGTGAGATTACGATGTTTACAAGCAAATTTCTGCCGGCGAGTGATTTCTGTACGATGCCAACGCCGCGGCTAAGCCTGCGCCCATTACTTTTGCTACTCGCATTTGCAGATTACGAACATACAAATAAATATTAGCGAGGAGTAACGAATAGTCCGTGCGCGCCGAAGAACACAGACGTGTTATCTGATATGCACAATGAACAGCGGTGTGCGATATATTGGATTCCAAGAAGAAGGTGAGCAAACAGTAGGTTACTCTGCAAAAACATTGCTTTTCTTTTTACATTAAATTAGAAGAAAAAAAAATTACGATTTGAAGTGGCCTCTCGTCATATTCATTCATGTAAAAAGCAGTAAACATTGCAAAGAAGACACTACAGTTTATTTTATTCACGCGCAGTTCAAAGCTGGTGGGTTATTGAGTGCACACACACCACTCGATAACTGTTTTCAATTCGAGTGAACCTGGGTCATTTATTTCTAAGAAAACACTCTCGACACCCGGCCAAGTTCTTGCAGCTCTTGTTGTATACGACACATTCTGTACAAACATCCAATACACCAGCTCACCCTGCTGGTGAGCGTGTACGATGCTGCGAGTGTGAGAAAACAGAAGGACCGTAAAACACAGATCAGAAACACCCAATTAACAGTAAATTCACACAAGGCGCACGCAGAGACACCGACCAACAGCCTTGCCCCAAAACCACGCAATCTGAAAAGGTTGAAAATACAATAATATATAAAACGCGAAGCGACATCCAAGAAAGGGAACAAGTCACCACCCAATGCAATGCATCCCAAAATGCTGAGGCGAGAGCGGTTCTATAAAACGATTTTGTAGTTCCTTCATTGTCGAAGTGTAAATTTGTTTGGAAATCAAGTACAAATCAAAACGTCCCGAAGACTAAACGAGCCAAGTTGAATATTGTCAGTGGTCGAAAACGAGTCTTCAATGTAAAGCGAAAGATATGCAGAAGGAAAAGCATATGTGGATATTTATATGTTTTCGGTTGAAAACGGTGGGTGGCCAAACGCGACATCGACAACCGCACCGGCGGACCCGGTGGACCCGTTTGACAGATAAAAAGTATGCCTAGATGGTCGATTGGATAACGGCGCACACGGTAGCCAATTGGTTTCGACGCTACCCTGGACGATTAAGCGCGCCCGCTCAAATAACCAAATTGCTGAGTGTGTCCACTTCGAATGTGTTTTCGGGCGATGTGAATGCAAATCTAGCGTCAAAGCAGTCGCATTCCAACTGATTTTATTTATTGTAGACTGACACCTGCAGCAATGGCGGCGGCAATGGACGCTGGAAGCTTTCGTCGTTCTTTGCTTCACAAAATTAGTTAAATATTGTGAAGACGCATTTGATTTAGTGGCAACTGGTCACACGTTCATCACTCGACGAAGAGCACCCGTTTGTATAATTTGTTAACGTACAAAACACCGCGCATCGTAATTGCTTGACCATGTTTGCTGATGGTGGAATCGGTGCGCTTCTTTCGTCCGGGGAATTTTTTTTTTTTTCAAATTTCATTGCAGTCAACAGCAGCCAACAGCAGCTCCAATGTCGCGCAAGAGCAAAAACTTGTCGAGCTCAACTCGTTACATAAACATCTTTCTCGCTCATCACCCGAAAAACTTATTTCTTTTTATTGATATCTTATTGATATTGCTACAACGTAGCTACAAATAAATAAAATCGTCCCCTTGAGAGTCACGCGCGTTTATTGCGTTGAAATTGCGCGCTTCTTAATTATCGCAATTCGCTGCACTCGGGCAAAGCAATGTGCGGCACGATGATAAGCGTTGCCTGGAATTAAAAAGGGGTATATTTCATTCTCGGCGCAGCTGAACAATTTCTTAGCTGGCATAAGGCGAGTGTTTTTGTTATTAGTACCATTTCTCAAATCGCATCGTAACAATTTCCGCTAAAAACTCGACTACCAGTTTTTGCCGACCGCAAAAAATCAACGCGCTGGAAAATGGCCGATCGCCTTAGTCGGGAGATCCTGATGCGACGATTCTATCGCCAAGTTTCCCAACGTATTCCCATGCTACATGCTGATTCTCAGTAAAAATTGCCAACGTATTTCCCATCTCTCATCATCATCATCGACATGCGACATGTCTCTTGATCACTGGCAATACCGATTCGAAAAATTTCATCGCCACCGAACCGGCTCGGCTGCGATTGGCGCTGGAGTGCAAAAAAATTAAAACCACACGACCATTCAAAGTGATACCTATTAACAATAAAAATTCCAATCGTCGGTATTTATTCTATTTAACGCCTTTCTCATAATACTTTGCACCACTTCAAAATAGAACGATAATATGGGATTTTATATAGTTACCTAAAGTAACCTGTGCCATCCGCATGGCCATCGGCAGTTCGCCGCCGCAAGGTGGCGAAACGTTACCAGGTCCAAGCTTTCGTTTTCTGGGTCGACCTTTTTGATGATGTTGGTGCGGTGGCGTTGATGGTGGATAGTAACCGGGTGATTCGCTGCCTCGATATACCATATCCATTGGATCATTCGTCGGGTCGCACAAATCGAGCAGCTCATAATGTGGCCTATTAAATAAACAAACTCATATGAATATACATTATAGATATCGATGATAAAATGTAGGTAGGTACTAATATTTAAAATGTATAAATGGTGCTGTCAATTACCTGCAATAAATAAGTCCCTCGCGCATGCCAAAGTGATCGCCCTTGGAAAGCGGAATACCGCAGGACATGCAGGAGAAACAGTGTAGATGATAGACTAGATCCCTGGCGCGCATCACCAATTCATTCGCAGATATGCCGGCATGACATCTGCCACATCGTGTGACGGCAAACATCCTGTGGAGGCCAAGAAAAAAATCCAGTATGTATTATCACCAATTAATGCTGGTGTACGTTTTAAGTACAAGTTATAAATTGATAAACGCCTCTAAAAACACAAAAATAAAAGGAACAATTTTTAACATTATTAAGTAAGTCGAATAGGCTTTTATTTAGTGCACGTAATCTCGAATATTATTTTTTCCCATTTTTCAACGAGTAGCATTAAATATTTTTTTCTATTGTAATTTGAATTTAAATATTACGATAATCATTTCCGAAATTATCTAAAACTTGAGGGTGTGCTTATTTCACATTTATATATAGTTAACAATATCTTCTTTAGTTGAATATAACAAAAAAATTCCTAAGAAAAAATACGAACATTATCAAAAAATATAATATTCAAACTGGCGCTTTTCTGTTGAACGGAAAACGGACCGTTAAAGGGATTATATTGGATAATATTAACGAGCATATTTTCTTACTAGTTATTTTACACATATTGCGCCTGAAATATCGCTTCAAATCATTATAAAAACTCTGACAAAGCGCGGATAATAATATAGCACGTTTGACGGTCGTGAGCGCGAGAACGGCCGATGAATCAATTTATTTTAACGAACTTTTTGTCCCTCGTGCGTCTTTTGTTTGCTGCCTAATTGCGTGAAGTGCATGTAACTAGGTGCACCTGATTAGAGGTCGCTTATGATGGTAGCATTTTTTTGCCATCCGGTGCGTCGTGTGCGATGTGCGATTTTATGTTATATAATTTTGTGTAATTGAATTTGCATAATGAACGCCGACGTGTTGGGCGCAAAATTGATTTGTCGGCACTTCTCTATCAAATCAAGTCTATCAAATTATGTGCTATTACCACATTTATTGCCGTTTCATAGAGGCAAAAACGCGGTCAAATTGCTAATAAATAGCAATAGATGTAGTGTATTTTAAAGCAAATTGCGATATTGGAAGGCGTAGAGCAATTTAGTGATCATTTTTCTGTTTGATAATAATATTGAGCCCAATAAAGTTCATTTAGTAATACTTTTTAACCAGATTTCACTTTTCAATTTTACCCTTCTTGAACATTTTGAGAATAGTTATAATATTGTCAGCATTATATGTAAATAACTGTAATGCATGTAATGTTCAAATGTTCAAATATTTTTTGAAATCACGAAACCATGAAAATCGAACGATTCTTCCGTATTTTCAATGTTACCACGAAATAGAACATTTCACATCTGCATAATTGACGAAGTGATACCTGATATTTAAACACAACATTGTTTGTACTTAGAGGTATTGTAATGAATAACTACTTCAATTGTTGTGTTTTGTGGAATGTTTTGATAACAACGCCAGCCGTCCGAAAAATCACATTATAAAATTACCAGTCATTGTATGCAACTTCTCATACACACATTCAACTGTACCTATCATTAACTCGATGGCTTATGTTTTCATACTAAACATTTTCATGTTTTTCCAATCCAAGCCAAATAAGTCACATGCCAGCACATCCAATAAAAGTATGATTTTTACATAAATATGATTAAAAATGAACATTAAATGACATGCATCAAAGCGCGAATAGAAAAAAAGTTGTTGAAACGTGATTGCATTCGAAATTAATTAAAAACTTTTGGGTTCGAGGAATCGATGTTATTTCCTTTTTTTAGGAAGGGTGGGGGTCTATCGCAGCCTGCATGGTACGAATTTTATTGTGTGCGCGCTGTGGTCTGATTCTTAAACCCAATTAGTTAGTTGAAAGTTAGTCATAAATCCTATTTTTCCTCTTCGCAACAACTCCTTGGCGCTTTTTTCGTCATTGAAGCCGAAACGAAGCAAACGAGAGCGGCTTGCGACGAAAGAATGCGACAGTCCTCGGAGACGGTGAGGGCGAGAGAATCTCCGAGTGGAAAAAACATGGAAGCCAATTAGTAGATTTTCTTTTCTTTGTAGCAGCCTGCGGCGCAGTTTGCAAAAGCATGTTAGAAAGAGGACGTCAGCAAATTCAACATTATTTACACTGCATTTTTTGCAATCAGTTCGCTGCGATTTTTTCTTCTTTCCTTTTGCTTCCGCGCACTGTTTGTCTACGATCTAACGTCTAACGCCTTACGAAAGAGTTACAGCATTGTACAGTGACAGCTTTGTTTTATATCTAACAAATTGGATACGCTCTGGTTTCACATTTTTTCTCTTTTTCAGTCTCTCGCAGAGCCTAACGACGTTGTTATCTAGTTATTTTAACACAATCATTATTTAAATATGGGCAAACAAAAAGTTTTAACAAATACTTTTATTCATTCACTCGTCCACGGCGACGAGCATTTTTCTCGACATCGTTTTTCTGCACACATGGGAAGAGATGCGGAGTTGTATAAATGGAATGAACGGAGCTTCAATGTGGCGTACGGTGTTGCGATGCATCCGTCATTATATGTGAGATTTAAATCGTTCCTAGACCAGAACAGAAGAACACATAAATTTTACCTTTGTATATTACGGCGTGGTTATGGATAGAAGACGAAATAATGAGGAAACATTCCTTGTTCCTGGTATTGATTCATTAAAATTCTACCGATTTTTTTTTTGGTTTGCGTCCTGTTAAATTGAAAAACATACGCGTCTATTCAGGTGTAGACGGACGTAAACGGACGAATGGAATTTTGTATTTATTGCATGTTCCTTCATTAAAAGCAGCGTTGGAATCGCTGCACAAAGAGGCGTTGAATGTTCGAATTCATTTAAAAATCCAGATTCATTATTTCAAATTCCAGTTATTTTCATTCATGAATCACATTTCAATGGAATCATCACTAGTAACGTGATTTGGATCATGAAAGTGTTTCAAGATTTCTAATGCACAATGTCACAAATTTTCGAGCAAGTCGCGAACAAACAAAATGTGAGGTCGGGGGACTCCCGTTAAAAACGAAGTTCTTTGCGATTTTTTAAAATTCTAAATTTTAATTTATTTATTTACTTTATTTTTATCACACCAGGTGAATATGTGCTGTGACGAAACGTCTTACGGAAAAATGGTGTTCCCCGTTTCGTTACGTGACGATTTCTGTCATTTCACTCTACTGTAAACAGCAAAGGTGTAAAATAACTTCTTTCTATAACTAAAGGGTCTCAGTGAATGCGTCCGATAAATGTGCGTAACGCGCTCACGATGATTTCAATAATTAAATTGTCACTTAAGCGGCGCCTCCATTCCACCACACTGCCTGCTCCATTCTGTTGTGCCACATGTGCACGGACAATCCGCATTCAAAACGCATTCAAGGCGCACTCATCATCGTAATCATCATTTTGAATGTGTCGTAACATTGTAACGTGCGATGCGTTCCTTTGCGGTTTTGCTCTCATTAGTTGTGAGATATTTCTGTTAAAAAGAGTGTTTTGTAAAGTCGGGCAAGTTTGTACGAAATGTGGGCGCACAATAACGATATCGGCTTGTAGAGATCTACGGCTCTTTCCATAACCCCAAAGAGTCACTAAAGAGCCAGCCAACAATAGCTGACAAGTTCACTGTGCGCCCTGTCAGCTCGTCGGATGTGTGTGCACACGCTGTGCAAGCAGGACATTCGTTCACTGTGTTGCACCCACAAAAAAGCCAAAACGTACGATGATAAATAATACATACACATGTTACCCTTGAAATAATCATACATTTTGCATCAATTTTAAAATCCTAACTATCAACTTCACTCAAACTCGAATATGCAGGAAAACACTTCACATAAACACATGTTGTTGTATAGGTAAGTATTAAGTAAAAGATTAACAAGACGTTATTTCGGACTATTTTCGGATAATTATGACAAATATTTTCTTGTCCACTCGGTAGAAATACAAAATAAAAACTGAGGTGGTGGATGAACCTATTTGTTGATACGAATTACATGGGCGCTTGACAGCCCTGCAGAGCGGAGGCGATAGTTTCCAGGGAACTTGACCAGCTGGTGCGTTTTTAATAATTCCTCATTTCCGATCCGTCCGGCGATAGTGTTTGTCACCATTAAAATAACTTATCTGTATATCGGCATGTCATAACATACTGAGACCCGAGTACCTATGCACTCGTGTCATTTGTGTTGTCTTACCCACTCACCATTATGGCGCCGCTAACCGCAATAATCATATTTGTGAACTTTTAAGGTCGCAAATTGATATAAAAATGAGGTACATGCATCGTCAGCTTACCTATAATAATCTTCTTTGCAGTAAATATTTCCATCACGTGCGAAACACGTCAACTCCGAGTCAAGCGGCACGTTGCATTCGCAGCACTTGAGGCAGTTGGCGTGCCATTGTCGATCAACGGCAAGCAGATAGTAGCGATCGTGAATGCGACCGCCACAGCCGCCGCACGTCGTCAGCTCAATGCCCGACGAGCCGCCCACGCTTGAACATGGGGAGCTGCCGCCGCGCTCGACGGATTCGCGCTCTTTCAGCATATCGCTGGTTTCCGGATGGACCTGCAACAAATCAGATCGATAAGCATTCAAAGCAACTATCCAGCATGTACCATCCACAACTCTTCTCTGTACTTTTGAAATTAATTGTTACACATTTCATTGGGTGATTTCAGTGTTATAATAAAAAAGGAATTTTAATTTCAATTTCACGGGATGTGAATATTGTCGATTCTAGACATACTTTGTATATTGTAGTTTGTGTTGTTTGCGTGTGGTTGTGAAATTGTTCAAGTACCTGATTTAATTAATTTTCTTATAAAAGATAACATCGCGAGAATATCACTCAAATGATGACGGAAGTGAAGTTATTTCTGGGTTAGGATAGAATTGTAGTAAGTAACAGAGATATTTCATAAGCGCACTTCTTCATTTTACTAACGGACAGTTTAAGTACTGAATCTTTAAAAATTGTGCAAAAGGTAAACAAGAAATGATTGTGTCAAATAGAAAGTTAGAGAGAATACAGGGGCAAATTGAAAAAAATAATGAGATTATTCATGTTAATTTAATAATGAATTATACATAATAATATTAGAATTTGGTGCCCGACCCATGACAAAAGTTTGAAAAATGTGCTTTTTACCTACTTTATGCTTTCAATTATTTAATAAAAGTTCATGAATTAGAAATATTTTTGCTTAAAGGTGGCGACTATGCCAACCTGTTTCGAAGCTCATAAGTTCTTGGGACATCTCTGCCTTAGGTACCAACAAGCCACAAATTTGCACTCAAAATTCTGTGTAAAAAACCGTGAACTAGCGAATAAAAAAGCGTGCCTCATCTGTTTTAAGATTTGATAAAAATAAAATTAGTTAGCGGGTTCATTTATTTATAGGTACATGATTTGAACTATTAATTTGCTAATATCGTTTCATAAAAACGCGTAAATAAGACCGCTCAAATGAAATGTACGGTGTTAATCACACATCGTAAAGTAGGATACTGATACTAACCTATTTATTGCGTGCAGACTGTGAATACCGCTTGCTCTATGGCGCCTTAGCTAACTGCATTTAGAAATTATGCTTAATCAAAAGTTGTATAAACTGTAAAACTATAAATACAGGTAGCAAAAAGCTGCCAAACGCGTGCTAATGCAGAAATTGTACTACGAGTTTTATTCCAAAATGAATAGACTTTTGTGCCATTTCATAGTAAAAATGTGATCTTCCATTGATATCAATAAAGTAGGAACAAAAAATTAGTCACACGAAATATTTTCCTTGGAGAAACAGGAGGAAAACGAAAACTGCCTGTTTGTCTGATGTAAGTATAACTATTTTAATTGGCTGGATTTAATATAAATATTCTGTATCTGAGGTAGTGCTATAATATTTCCGTTTACTTTTTAAAAAATGATAAAAATGTTTTAAAGTTAGCGTTAAATATTTGGCGTCATGCATTTTTTCTAATTCGTACTATCCTGATATCGCGGGTAAAGTTTATATTGCTTTTTAGGGACTTTCCCTATTTGTAACATTCGACCTTTTGCTAATCTCATTATAAGCATTATCCAATTTACCAATCGGGCCATGAAACATGCGTAGGAGTTTTTAGGGAATATCATTGTTACGAAATATATTTATACATCTTGTTTTAATATTATTTTATAACGATTTTATGTAGTAAAGGTTATTATTTTTCAAGAAATTATACGTAAATAAATATAAAATTATATGGTTTTGGAAAAATGTTATCATAAAAATTGAAAACTTATATGAAATAGCAACTTTAATTGCTAATAAATTGTTGTAAATCCTAATATTTGTTAAAATTTCTATTAACGCCTATGAAAACTGTTTTTAAAGTTATGTGGTCCGCGAATAGCAACTCTCCCCTAACTTCAAAATGGATTTTAGAAAAGTAAGGTTTTGCATAAGAATTACAAGTTAAATTGACATAAAAACAGGACTTGTTATAGGAATTAAGCATTGTTGTTTATCCAGCAGCGGAAGTATTTCAAATGATAGATTGCGGGTAGATATGCTAATTTGATATTACAATAACTATCAAAAAGTTGTGTTATGAGTGAACGAAACATTTATTTAGAGATTACATCAGGTTTGCGCAATTTGTATTCTTAACAACGTATTATAAATTATAGGTACGCGTAAATTGAAAATTCATGTTTTAGGCCGTCATTTGTCTGACTCGGTAATTATAAATGCAAGAAAAAAAACTTAATTTAACACACACAATTATGTTTAAGTAGTTGAACAAATTTTAAATGCGTAAGTGCTGCGCATAAAGCGCGTGTAATATGCGATAACAACCGACAACTTGTTTTAAACATTTGTTAATGGTTTTAAATGTTTTTTAATGACGAGGATTCTATTTTTCAATATAAATTTCCAACAAATGGTAAAAATCTGTTTTGTATATTTTTTTGTAATCTATCACCGATGCAATAAATTCGATGCAGATTTGTTCATAAACCGAAGTGTAACCTAATGTCACGACTACTTGTTTCACATTTGTTTTTGCTAGCATGCAAATTCTTGAATCGCCGACCTAAACGCGGCATTTCATTCGCAAACACCTCAGATGGTGTTCCGTTGTTAATTGATCTGATAATTACTCAAATATCTTTGATTGCAACACTCGTATAAAACATTTAGGTATATCATTTATAAAATTGCATTGAAACGGCAAATGACAAAATTTTGTTTTCATGATTTGCAGCAGGTGATTCTCTAAAAAGTTGGAGAAAAAATTAAAAAGTTTTGAAACCGCTAACTGTAACCACTTCACTACAACTCAGAACTAATTAACTTTAAGCTAATTCTTCCAAGATTCAACCAAACATAAAAATGATGCTTTCTAAGAAAGATATTGGAAATAAAGTTATGAATAATATAAAGTATGCACAATTTTAATTAATTCGGCACTAAACACAGATGTAACAGAATTCTAAGACAATTATAGCGCCCGATCGTACCCCAACAAAGTGGTCTATTTAACGGCGCGCAGCTAAATTATTCACCCTTTTTCCTTTGATTCCACGATATGCCTAGCAATACTTATGCGCGTATAGGAATCAGTCATACATACACTTATATTCGGATTGTATCTACAATTATGCAGTGATGTTTATGTTTGGGCGTTAGCATCAGCAAAGCTACGCCTATCTTCGTCATTGCGGCAAACGAATTAATTCATTAATGCATTATTTCGTTGTTTTGCCAGCGCATTCGTGCATTCGCATCACTGAAAACGTAATAAATGATTATCAGCCGCTGGAAAGAAGGAGCAATGAACAATGTTATGAATAACATCCGCTTTAGAAGCATGTTTCTTTTTGAATGGGCAATTTTTTTCACAACATATGAGATATGCAATTAAAACTATACCTAATTGTAACCAATTGTAACTTATAGTGCTTGAGGCTTTGAGATAAACTGTCAAACCATTTAAGTAATAAAAAAAATCACCTGTTTTGGTAATTCAGTGCATATTTATGTTTAATTACTTTTTGGCACCCAAATTTGCTTGTTTTTCTCAAATAGCTATCAATATAACGTTTGAATGTGTAGGGTAGGTAGGTAGGTACCTAGGTGCATCAATTAATGTAAAGAAAATATGCGTAAGCAAAACAATTTAATTAAAATTATTTCTCGCGGTACAAAAATGGAATTGGCTAGAAGAATAAAAAAGGTAGATCTTTACAAGATGCCTATCATTTTAATTAAAGCAAGACCTGAAATCATCAGTGTGGTTCTTTGTCGCTGCGTTTAGGGTCGCTTACGGTGTGCATTTGTCTGTCCGCTACAACAGGTATGAATGAGTGTCATAAATTATGTAATAATCCAAGGCATGTTATATTTAGATGGGTCTATTACGGATGGTAATTTTAATAAATGTTCATTTTAATTTACGAATGAATAATGTGTTTAGTAATTTGATATGTAAGCTACATAACGCAAACACTTTGGAAAATTTATGCTTCTTGACTACTCTACTCTAGATGGCACCACTCAAATGTAGATATTAAGCGTAATTTAGATTTACCTTTGTTTTACCGTCAAATATAGTTCGTATCCTTGCACTTACATAGATTTCACCAAGTCGAATTCAACTTCACCCCTTATTAAATACACAAAACGGACTTATATATATTATTCAGGTGTTATTTGTTTGTCTTTCAATCAACACATTGTCATTAAGCCCTACAAATGTCCGAAAATCGTCAGGGTTTCATTGGGGTTTCAATAAATCCACACTGCACTTTTTCCACCACAACGTGACACAGTATTCTAGCGTTTAACTTCCGACGGTGCGACTCAAACAACTGCGGCATACGTGCGGCAGCGGGCTAGCAGATCTCTCGAGCAGCCGGCATCTGGACCCAAGGATGCTGAAGTGCCAAGGAGGCCACGCCCGGCACGATCGATATGCTCCGCCCCGCGTACCCACCCTAACCACGCGCGCGTCGCTGGATTATAGATGAGCGAAACGATAGATAGCCAGTTCTCGACGAGTGTTTTTCGTGGAGTCGGCGCACACGGATTTTTTCCCTTTCTGACGCAAACTGAAGGGTGGTTATATTGAAAAAATCATCCCCATACTTTCATCCCCACTTTATTTCCTGTCAACACTGCACCCGTTCAATCGCAAAGTGTGTGTTCTATGTAATCAAAAATTTCCATGAGATGATCAGTGTTTTGATTTGCAAAATTGACGAAATAACATGAAAATCACTGAACATAACAATTTACAAGTTTTAGAATGTTATAAATGGGACAACTTCCGGTCGGGAATATTCTGGTTTAGGTGCGCAACAGAGATTGAAGCCAATTAAATCATTTCGCGCGTAATTTTAGTGCATATTTTACAGCCGCTTGTAAATTTAAGTTTTTCGCAGAAAAAAAAGTACCTAGGTACCACGTTACCACGTGGATTTGTATCATTTGCTTTTTAGACCTTTATTTTCTAATATTTTAGGTAATGTAGCATGGTACACATGTAGTACGAGCAACATATTGCTAATATATCACGAAACATGTTCTAAATCAATGAACGGAAATATGCCACTGTCGCATTCCATGTGAATTTATGTTATTTGAGAGGCACGTCCTTTTAATAAAGCGCCACGGAGCGCTTCGTTTTCTGTATTCAAAGACTACCACACGCACGAGACGAAAGATGCAAAGCCGACCGCTTTATGTCACGCCATTTGGTCCGCCAAGATGAATTATCGAATTTTTGGGGAATTTATGATTTATTTGTTGATTTTTGTGCAAAACATGCAAATATAGGTAACATGAGATTAAGGAAATCTCACTAAAAGTTTCTTCGGAACTTTCTGAATGATTAATTTACCTAATACGATGTTCTAACTTAAAAAAATGAAACGAAAGACAAAGTAAATATTTGCTTAGACATTAGATGTTGATAAAAAGTTGCAAGATAGGTGCATACGTACCTATGTGTTTGTATAAATCAACGTGTAACTTGTCAGCGTCTCAGCGTGACTTATTTTTGTCCGGAGGTTGAAATTTTTCATTTTGTAGTGAAGATTGTCGGTGACTGCGTGATGAATTCGTGCCGGATTTGAGTCGAGACTTTCAGTCATCGATACGCCACAAGTTCCATCTCCGAGGACCCTTTGACATTATCGCCACTGAGCACGTTGATGTTAGTTTTGCGTCTTCCATGACTTCTGTGCGTTGAAACGTGGTGTATAGAAATATCGGATTTCACTTAATGCTTTCTATGCTTTCGTCGTTTGCTTGTGCTGTAATGTGGTCTCTTAGCGGTTTGATGCCGGCGTCTGTGGTGTTTAATACTTTTGTTGTCTTCTTTGTTTTTCGACAGCCCGCCGCCTGGCCTACATCCACGTACAATCAAACATGTTGCGTAGTTTGGGCGTCTGCTTTGAAGACAGTTAATGATTTTGGGTGACACGAAACACGCAACACATGTTTCTTTCATAACTAATGTGTAAAATCGAATTGGAGTATTTGATATTGTAATTTTCTTTATAATATTTTTTGTTGTGCATCACTGTGTTTTTATTCCTCTAATGTACAAACTTTGGATAAAACTTTGCAAAATAATAACAAAAAATGTGCATTCAAATATGACATTTGATGTCCCTCTAACCAAATTTGTTTATGCTTTTCTCATTGAATTAAAATTGACATTTTCTGCCTTGTTTCGCTTGGAAACAAGCTGAATTCACGATATTATGTTCTGCAGGGACTATGCAACGTAATTTTATTATTATAATAATACATTACTCAGTTTTCAAGATATGATAGTGGTCCAATCAAAGTAACTGCCCAACTTCGACTTCTCTCCGTTATATGGCAAAACTGTACTATCTATAAAAAAATTTATAGAAGAAATTATCCCCTTCATGAAATAAGATCCCCTTAGCGGCGAAACGCTCCCTAGACACCTCGACAACGTTCGCGTTCTTGGATCCCTGTTAGTCGGAACATATGCACGTGATTGAGCCAATTTAGGCCCGTTCCGACACCTACCCTATCCCGTTTCCTGCCCGCTGTTCGTCTCTTTCTCTATGCGTTTCGAGTACATGCGGCACACGTTCCTGGACACAACGTGGTGCATGCAAGAAAAGGAAGAAACCATTAAAACATATTGATAACATTCGATCGTATGTCTATGCCCTACGACCATAAAATCTGGGGTTGTTCGCTTATACATGCCGAGGGGCAGAACGGTCAGGTCGTTTAGGCGCCAGTTGCCGTGGTGTCCGCAAAACCAATAAACAAAGCCATTTATTGCCGACAACGACATGAAACCCATTTCATGCAAGTTAGATGTTACAAACTATTTTATCTAAAAAAGCAGCAAACAAAAAAAATCACACCCGATTTTATGTTTAGTTTTTTCTCACCCTAGTTTCAAAAAAGCAGTAAAACCTTCAGCAAAATAAGAGTTTTTCAATATTTTTGGGGAGTTTTATGAACATTTTTATTATTGAGGTACACGAGTAGGTTTAATGGGGTTTGCTTGCTAATAGCCAAATCATATTGTCGCAATCCAATGTGTTTTTGGACTGTTAAAGATGATATCATTTGTTCAGCGCACCCTCACAATTTCGTATGAGAACAAACACGAAAACTTTTTCGGCTCGATTTAGAGATATTTTAGATAATACAATATAATAAAATGCAGAAAAGTCATGTGGGGCTTTGTAAAGGTTTAAATATGTGGGATGTGATTTAAGTAATTTTTATCACTTAGATCAGATAAGCAGCAGAAAAGTGAGTTATGATACAAGCGCCAACGTTTGGTACGGGCGACGTCTCACTTTTCTTGCGCGTTGCCTTGATGGTGAGGTGCTTCTGCTCCTCTGAAGTTCTGGAGTTTTGTGCTATCAATGTCCGTCCGTCCGCCAAGCAGAAGATGACAGCATGTGGTGTGACCTATGACATGCGAGGTACACGCCGTGCTATCTTGATTCCGGCACACACGTAATGGCATTCCGTCTGTCCATTCCAATGAACCTCTCATGGAAGACACAATCAAATTTGTTTTTATACAGCATGGGAAACATAACAAAGTATTAAAATTCCGTGCTAATAAATACATTTAAGGAATACGTTTTTCCGGAAATAATTAATTTATCTAAGTACATTAACAATTTAGCATAGAAATACAAATTGGGAAAATACTAACAAACATAATTATTTGCTCACACAAATGTGCGAATTGCCCCCATATTTCGATTTCAATTAAAATGAAAATGATATTATCAAAATAGTGATTTCATTATTCCTTAGTTTAAGCAAGTTTAAGCATTAACACTATATCATTGCATGAAATAATAGAGGAAATAAAACTAATTCTTTATATAGCAAAAAATGCAGACGATACAAAAACAGCTTCACGGCCTAAATTACCTAATTACAGAACACGTAAAAACAAATATAATAAAACCAGCGTCAATAATAGCCGCATAATAAAGGATATTGTGGGCCACGCGATACAATCTCACGACGCGATAATTTCGCTTTAAGAAATTCCGGTTATAAAAGTTTTATTATAATGCAACGCGCCGAAACAAAAATGATGTCGGTCGAATATGCGTCATCATAAACCGAACTAAAGGCGCGTTAAGAACGTTTAAAGGCGGTTAAAATAAACTCAAATAACGCTTGGACAAGGAGCGAAATTAAGATAAAACCGGTGGCGAAATGAACATTTAAGGCGACGAAGGGGCACACAAATTTTTAAAACACGCGAGCGTCTGTTGGATATGAAATGGTGCATTAAACGATAAAATTGAATAAAAATTAAAATCACAGATGGATTTACGAGATGACGTCGAGTAAATTTTATTAGGTACATTATTTTGTAGTCTACATAGAAAGTCAATGATCGGCGCGTCAAAGTAAACAAACGAATCGAAATGGCAGTCCATTAATATCAATCACCATGAAAGTGCTGTATCATATCAGAATTTCCTTCGTTTCTTAGAAGAAATGAAGTAGTCTGTGAAATCTATCCAGTTATTAAGTAATTAAAATCAGATAGGCGTGGAGATAAAATGACTGCACTTACCAGCGGCGACAACTGAGAGCAAACTCGACGCCGGTTTACCAGAATAAAATCGGTAACAACGTTAATCAACAGAGAATATAAAGCATTTACCGACAGCTTTTCTCGGCCGTCGACAATGAGATTAGGGTTATTGAGGAAGCACATATGCATCGCAGTGCTGTAAATGTGCAATGCTCCTTAGTCATAAAGTTCGATTAACACAAATATGCAGGTAATTACGATGAGTTGATGTGCGTTTAAAGACAGAGTACTTCATTTTATGTCTCATAAAACCATTTTTTTATTTTAATTTTTTAAATTCTTTTCACACAATATTTTTAAATCGTATTTTTAGTATGATTCAAATCATTTGCTTATCAATTGCTCCATTGCTCTATTGCTCCATTGATAATTTATACATTAATAAATTTGTTTGTGTTAGGTTTGGTTAAGTTAGGTTAAGTTATGTTAGGTTAGGTTATTGAATAATTCTCCCGAAAATAGTGTTTATAACCTTTAGCGAACAAAATGATTGCCTATAGATCTTACTTAGATGTATTGGTTGGTTCTCGATACACTTGGTATATTATCTCGTATCACATAATAGTTTGTCATAAATAAATGAAAGTATGCGCACGACAGTGCACGATCATAAAACAAATTCCCTTGGCGCTTCCAAGGAATGAAGCGCGCACGATACCAAGAAGCTCAGCAAAGAAGCCAAGGCAGAAGCTATTTCAACATTAGAATTGACAATATTTTACCATTTGTTACGATAATGATGATAGGAACATGCGGCGCCCGTCGACGGTC